TAGTAGTAAGTGTAGTAGTAGTAGTAGTAGTAGTAGTAGTAGTAGTAGTTAGTAGTAGTAGTGGTAGTAGTAGTAGTAGTCGTAGTCGTAGTCGTAGTCGTAGTCGTAGTAAGTAGTAAGTAGTAAGTAGTAACTGGTAAGTAGTAAGTAGTAAGTACTAAGTAGTAAGTAGTAAGTAGTAATAGTAGTAGTAGTAGTAGTTGTTGTTGTTGTTGCTGTTGCTGTTGTTACGATGTGCTTAGGATGAAACTGCCCGGCAGCAACACCTTTTTGGCTCCCCGCTTCTCTTTTTGGGTCCTATGAATCCTATGAATAGTATGAAACTGAAGGGACGTGCTATGCAGGGATGTGCTGCGAGATCGACGACCCCAAATATGTCACCCCTCTTCCCCTACCGATGTGGTGTGCCGTTGTGCTGGCTGCTGATGTTGCTGGCTGTGAGCATGTGGCGGAGAAGTGAGCATGTGGACCTCCATTGTGAATATGGCTGCTATTTGTTGCATTAGCCATTTCTCCAAGACTCATCCACAACTAAATGGAACTGGCTGACCTGTCCTGTTCTCGGCTGGCTGCAGAGGGGGCATCACTCTGTGAGCTTTGTGTCTAAGTACGTTGTGGCTGACCAAACACCTGCTAGTGGCAGCTGTAGAAACCAACAAAATTGAACTGAGGTCCTACCTGGACCATCCTGTCTGGGCCAGTCTGGACATCTCGGATAGCAGGGTAGTCCAGCCAGGACACCCAGATGGTCGGATGGTGCAGGGAGGTTCCAACATGTTAACCACTACGGGGAGTGGTCCCCGCCCGCACGCCGGGAGTGGCCAGTTGAGACCGCACGGACGGCGAGTTCCTCGCGCGTGGGCGTTTGAAAAGGTGTGCCGCTTATGGGATGCCCCCAGCGTGGCCATCGTAGCTGGAGCCCCAGACTCAGACGAGTGCAGTTTCTTACCTCTCGCTCGGGTGAAGCGATCTTGGTCTTCGTCTTTTGGTGGATGAACAAGACTGTGTCCAGGACCATCCGTTGCTGGGATGGTCGAACAGAGAATTTCGTACGTACGAAACCTGAGACTGGTCGTTGCCTGGGCAACGGATGGTCCTGGACCCTTTGGATGGTGCTGGACTCTCCTGGACCCTTCGGATAGGTCAACCATGTCTTTGAGACAGCCCTGAGAGTCAGAGACGAAGAACAAGACGACTTGATGACCCGAGTCAAGGAGCTTCCTTTACTTCACCGGTGCAACAAAATATCGTCGAAGTCGACTTGACCGGGACAGTATCTTGCTTATCTTTCTCTCCCAGGACCTTCCAACTGGTGGTTTTTGGACACCCCTCAACCACTAAAAGACTATTTTCGAGACACCTCTTGGAAGGTCCTGGTAGTGGATCTATTTTAAGAACGTTCCCAGGTCTAGTAGTCCAAGCAGGGCAGATCCAGTTATTTTTTCATCACTGGGTTTTCGGTCGTTCAAGCACTGGAACGGTTTGGGCCTCTAAAGCTCATGGTTGTGCACTTGGCTCCAAGCCGCCAGGGGCTTCCCAGGGGGCCTCTGTGGACTGCACCTCATGTTCATTCATGTTCCGACCTGCTCAGAAGGCAAGTGATGGGCCGACCCGACATCGATGGAAAAGAAATCAACTGACTTGCAACATTCACTGAACCGAGCCCGATTTCACGCGTGTGTAGCAAGCAAGCGGCTTGGGCTTGGACCAGCAGAGCTCATGCATTGGTTTCCGACTGTGCCGGAAAGCAGACGGGCCAGCCTCTTTTGATGCAGACGGGTCAGGACCTAGCAGACGGCACTGGGATCAGACCTGGACCATGGGTCCTGAAGAAGGTAGGTCTGGTCCGTAGAAAGACCTGGAAGGTACAGTAGGTCAACCGACCCACAGCCATATACCTACCAGTGGTTCTCAAACCCATGGAAGATAGAGGTTATACAAAAGCCATGTTGTTTTCTAGAGAAATCCAGGTCTTTGATACTTCGTGGGCCACCCCTTCCGTCGCCGGCTCAGTCGCCCATGGAGCTCCCACCGGAACCCCCCCAGAAGGGTGACCGGTGGTCTTCGACGCGGACAGCACCCCGGTGTCCGGCCCCGGCTCCGAAACTGAAAAGGCTCACGGTGCGGACCGCTTCGACCAGACGGGCGCCCCTCCTCCGTCCGACCCCGGGGCCAGGTCTGGACCTTGGTGGCCGTCAGCAGCTTTGCGGTGTTGATCCAACACCAACGCCTGGTCGAGGCTGGTCGTTGGATACGCTGCGGCGCGAGCTGTGAGACGAGATGTGCGGAGGATGTGCGGAGGTGCGGAGGATGTGCGGAGGTGCTGCGTGTGGCGGCACCGAGCGTTGCCAGGTGTGTTTGGTGGTCTATTCTTGTTCTGATTCGCGAGACAGCACAGATCCGTAGATCTTGATGGTATTTCTGAGCCAAGATGCTGGCTTTTAGAAGGTCGGACTAATAGTTCTGAGATCCAAGAGTCCCCCACCAGCCGTGCACCCACAGGCCTCTCATGAGGACTGGGCTCATCCGTCTCTCGCAGGCTGCAGGGAAAGGGGGGCCATCAGGATTTGGTTTTGGGTTTTGAGGATGTACACTCTGACTCCATGGACGTGGATTTTTTTTTGGTGGAGTTTTTTGCCTCCCCGTTTCTAGAGGAAAGCCGCTTTAAGAAAGGGGCCATGGATGTTTCCACTTCCAATGTGATGTGGTTGGTCAGAGTGTAAGAACTTCTACTGCAGGAATCCTACAGGTCCTTTCTCATTTCGAAGTGATCGATCAGTTCTTCTATCCAGTTCGTCCTGCTTTTGAGGAGAGTGACTCCTCAGAACTGGGAATCAGAAAACATGAACTTCCCCTAGACTTCCAAGACCATTAACAAAAATGGGAGCGACCTGGTGTTTGTAGTGTAAAATCCTTAGTTGATTCGGGATTCAGCCTATTAAATGAATGGTGGGCCAGGAAGCCCAAGGTTCTACCTTCCTTCAGTCATTTTTAGGTCCGAAGTTTGTGGTGATGCCTGGTGTCTTCTAGACGCTCCTGCCCTCCGTGTCTTCCCGAGGTCGTTGACCAAACGGTGAAAGCAAACGGTGAAAGCAGGGTCATCATTTCTTAAATGGTCACCCTAGACTTCCAAGACCATTATAAAAATGGTTGACCTTGTTTTTGAAATGAAAAATCCTTAGTTGATTCGGTAAAGCCTATTAAAATAATGGTTGTTGGAAGCCTAGGGGTCATATTGAGTCATCTGGGGCTGCACACACCAAACCATCACCTCAGTGACTGGATTCGACTCGACCGACTCGTCACACACCAGGGAGTCGCAGGCCGCCGGGTCCGACGGGTCCGACGGGTCCACACATGGGACGAAGCAAAGCATCCGACGGCCCGACGGATGTGATTCCTGGTATGAACATCTGAAGAAGACCACCATCTTTCTGTAGTCAGATTTCAATCTTCATGGAATGACTGACGAGTCTCATCCGTTGCAGGCAGGATGCTGCGGAAGCTTGACCCACCGCTGGCCGAAGCGCTTCACACCCACTTTCTTTCAACTCTCATTTTGGAGCAATGCGCCCACCATTACACCATTTGGTTCCAGAGCTGTTTCTTGGATGTGGAACCAACCTTGAGCCGGTAGGCACATGAATTTCTCAACTGACCCAAGACATGCTGAGTGCCCAGCATGAGCGTTTGGTTTCCTCACCAGGCCGGGCCATGCTTCGTGTGAGCTCCACTTCCAGGCGGACCTGTCAACCGACGAAAGGACTACTGTAAACCGCTGAAACTGTGTTCTGCCTCCACGGTCTCATGCTGAAATACTGGACTTCAGCATACTTCAGCCTCATGTTTGGATGTTTTTCCAAGTATGGAGGCGGGTGTTCGACACACGGAACCGGAAGAGCGGTTTTGACCTCGCCATTGGACCGGATGACCTCCATGGTCCGGACCCCGGCTTGACTCGTTGGAGTCCACTCCATCAGCCGTCGAACCACCGTTGGGTCTGTGTTTCGACCTCCCCAAGCGACAGACGAAGCGGAGGTTCCCCGAAGCCAGACGACTTTCCTCCGAACCAGCGGGTTTTCACATGTGATTGGGACTGTGGATGGAACTGCCAGAACTGTTTCTGGTTGAGAGATGGGCAAACTACCCGGGAAGATGCTTGAGGCCCTTCGGGGAGGCTCTGTAGCAGATCCACCCCTCGTAAGGTTTGGGGGCCAGTTGGTTTAAAATATTTCAAGGCTTACGCCTAAGAGCGGGCTGGGCAGGCAAGCAGGGCAGGTGCTTTCTCTTTCTCTTGCGCTTTCTCTCCCTTTTCCTCATCCTCTTTCTCTGCCTCTGTCTCTTTCTCTTCCGCTTTCTCTTCCTCTTTCTATGTTGTTCCGTTTACCCTGTCTCTTTCTCTTGCTCTTTCTCTTTTTCTCTTTCTCTGGAAGAGGAAGAGAAGGAGAGCAAGCAGAGGCACACATTGCTAATAATGCAAGGCCAGGCAGCACATCTCGCACCACTGGCCTTTGAAAACGACCTCGCATCACATCAACATATGACCCATCTCTTCTTATATTTCGAGAAAATTCGACCAAGATCCCTCTCTCTACGCTCTCTTCAGTGGCCTGCGAGGTTCCAGGTGCCTCCGATATAGAGCATGAACGTGCCCGCGCGTCCTCGAGCTGCCCCAAGGGACATCAAAGGACCGCGCGCATGCTCACACATGGACCACAGTGGCGCGCGCTCGCGCGGTCCCACCAAATCCTGGGCAACGCTTTTCCCGAGAAAAACATCTTGATGGTCCCACAAGAGAAGAATTTAGACAAGTTGTCATTGAAGCGGGGGTCGCGGTGAGCGGAGTCCCTCAACAGGAACACGCCGGCCCCGCTCCGCTCACGCTCGCATTCATCAACCGTCCGACCTGGGTCGGCGGATTACTGTATCACTATATTTTTTTTGGAAATCGCCCACTGGCCCTGCATAAAGATTATCATCTTCTTGCTGCCTTTTTTGATTGATACGCCAATTTATTTCTGGGGGGTATCAAGAGTCCATCCAAGTTACACTGGAAGCCCAGTCGACTATTGACTCGGTGACCCGATGTTCGGACTTTCCTGAAACCTTCGTTTTTGGTGCCAAGAATCGTTTTTCACGGCTGTATATACCTACATCTTCCAACTATGCCAAATTTTTGCCCTTTCATCCATAAAGCCAGCGTCCAAGGCAGACATTTTGCATAGTTGGAAGATCTAGGTATGTTGGGTGAGGGAAGCCCGAGTAAAAACATCCACAGAACAGGTTCTTCGCACAGGAGCAAAAAGGGGTCCTTCTGTCGTCATACTTGACAGTTGTTGTTCTGTTGGAGGTACCTCTTCAGTGGTACCTCGTGCTGTGACTTTGAAGTACCCGGAGGCCGAGTTGTTCCAGAAACTTCTTGAAGCATCACTCGAAACCGCAAAAAATGTCAACAAATTCTCGGATTTGGGACACGGTCTATATGGTCCACAGGTCTTTTCTTTTGAGCCACAACCATGCCCGACGTGACGCTCCGCCCTTTCCGCGCTACGCTGCCCAGTCCAAAGCCCAACTTCACGGAGGCCGAACTCAAGGTGGGAGACCGAGAAAAGACCTTTTGAGGGGAGCGAAGGTCACTGGGCTGCGGCGGTTCTTGTCCTTTTTCCCCAAAACGAAAGCTATTGGGTTCTTACTTCAAGTATAGGAAGAGGTGCCTGTGTGCGCTTTGAAGCTTGGGTGCTGGTGCCGCTGCAGGGTGCAGCTGCCAGATGTGTGGCCGTGTGCGCTTTGGAGCTTGGGTGCTGGTGCCGCGCTGCAGAGTGTTGCTGCGCCCGGCAGTGCGCTTTGGAGCCTGCATGCTGGGGCCGCTGCAGGGTGGTGCTGCCATTGCCATCATTTGGGTCTATGCTATGCTGGCGCATTTTTTTGGTTGGGAGGGTGGGCAGGTTGGGGGCTGAAGTGCGCCGGGTCAGTATGTAAGACACGGGCTTGCTGGTTGCTTGTCAACTAATGTGACTCAGAACACTCCGCCCACCGAGAGAAAAACACATCCCATTTGGGCATCTGAGGGGAATCGGAATGAGATGCCCGGAAGAACTGACGACAAGAGTTCGTGATCTGCTCAAGTGGTTAGGCATCTACCCAGGCTGGATGAGGTCGGTTAGGTTTTGTGCACTCAAAGGACCACAGTTTGGTTGCGCCCAGCAACTCGGGTGCAGGGCTGAAGGCTGGGGCATTCATGCTTCCAGTAGATTTTCTGATTCACTTGGGGTGGCGTTTTTTTACGCAAGTTCCTCAAGGAACCAACGCATCAAATCACCCCAGCAGTCTGGTTTGTAACTCTTCTCATGTTTCCAGGGGGAATTCAAAAACCAATTTTCGTGGCCGACCTTCAAGATGAACCTTGGCTGACCCAAACGCCACCCCTCCCCATCGACCCAAACGTGGTCGGACCGGCGACATTCGCACCTTCTTCCAAGTTCCGAGTCCGGGTTGTTGTTCGGAGCTCTGAGATGTTGGAAAGCACTCCCGTTTTGAAGGGACCAGAAGTAATAAGTAGGGCTGTGAAGGGAAAAGGTCACTTTGAAGGTGAACACGATGTGCAAGAGCTTCTTCAGTTTGTGACCCTGGTTAGGCCGTCCTATCCAGTGACCTTTTTACAGGCCTGAGCGAAAAAACCAGGAGATCAAGTTAAACTCACGAACGGAAGCACCAGCTCGCTTAATGGTCCTCCAAATGACACTTCCACCACTTCCCCGCTTGCGGGTCTTTCACCCACCGATGGGCGCCGACCCCGCTTCGTGAGCGCGCTTCGATCGTGACGCGCCGACCCCGGTGACGGCGCGAACCTCGACGTGCGACGGCGCGAGGCGGCTCGGTTCGCCTTGGTGGCACAAATCAAGATCGTCCGGAGACCCGACGGGTGCCGTCCTTCCCGGTGGATCCGTTGCGCGCGCGGTTCCGGGGGCGCCGCAGGGGCGAAGGGGCCAGTTGGTTGGCCAGGCCCATTGTTGGAGGTGGGTGGAAGATTTTTTTTATTTGTTTGGGGGGGGTTATTGAGCCTTGGATAAGATCTCATTGCGGGGAGTCCTTGGATTTGGGGACTCTTTGGGGCCAAGGTGTGGGTTGGACGGATTGGACCTGAGTGTGGGATCAAGTCGTAGGGTTTGTCTACACATGGCCACGGCCATTGTCATTGATTCCATGGTTTAGTGCAAAACTGGGGGAACATCGTAAGATCCGTGGATTGCCCTTTTTGAGAGTGTCCGCACAGTTGGAAGATCTAGGTCCAATTATCGTCAGCTGATCTCGAACAGCTTGGACCACCAATGGTGGTTGCGGCGGGGGGAATCCTTCCGAGACGGTCTCCGACCTCTGAAGGTGTTGGGCACCTGGAGAGGTGTTGCGAACGCTGCATTTTTCTGAGGTCGACAACATCTTGAAGCATCCAAAGGAAGAGATGTGCGCCGCTGTTTCACGTGATGTCGTCATGAGAATCACCAACAAATGCAGGCTGGCTTATATATGAGCCACAGGTAGATGCTACGAGCTTGGAAGACCGACATAGTTATCTTCCCAGACCATTCATGTGTGGAATAGTTGCATTATACAACTACAGTTACCCCACCCTACAAGTCCAAAAACCCAGTAAAACCTGGTCTTTTACCTCCCTATGTATTGGTTTTGTATGACCATCTCCAGTATTTCATGAGGTCCAGCTGACTTGGGCCATGGAAAGGACCCATCCATGGTCACTCTTCCTCTCTCTTGGATGGTCTTGAACTCCGAGCTGCGAGGTACCATCAGATCTGGCGCGAGAACCCGGTCTTTCAGAAGGCGCCGGAACCACGGGGAGCCGAACCGCATGGAACCGGCCGTGCTTCGGGCGCCGTTTTCGGGGGTGAACACTGCCCATCTCCGACTACAACCCCGCTCCCTCGACAACACCGAGGGGGATTGGTTTTCGAACCCATCCGCTGACTCAATCATTCGGGTTCGAGCCCTCTGAGGCTCACGAGCCTCTGGGTACGTAGTACAAATTGAGTACGAGCCTTTGAAAGGTTTTTTGAGGTGCGACTTGAAAAGACCTGATGGATGATCTGTCACAACCCTCCGGGTTGGTTGATCCATGTTGATCCGATGATTTGATCCTGTAAACCGCAAGTTGTTTTTAGTCCTGACTAGTTAGGATATCACCTGTTAGATCTTTAAGAAACCAGTTATAACTATACAGTTAGGATATGACCTGTCATAACTAGTTAGGATATAACCAGTCTAGCCTTGGGGCTTCGGTTCACTGAGACAAACACCCGGTCCCGGCTCAGCCGCACCGCGGCTCAGCCCGGACCGGTCACCTTTCACCTTTCGCAGCAGTTCGAGAGGGCCGGACCTTCCCAAGGTCTGGCGAACATACCAGGACACCCGGACCAGGGGTGTCTATTGATAACCCCGAAAAGAGGTTAGTTAAGGGGTGTCCATGTCTACCACCCCGACAGTGGGTCCTAGTATACCTATATATATTTTGATGATGATGGAAGACTGTCATAGTGGTTTCAGAGTATATGGCACAATTCCCCCCATGTTCTTTTTTTTGTAGACCCCCATCTAAAGGACATCGAACGGGGTGCCAGTGCCATCTACTCTGAAACAACCGTAGAGTCCGTATAGTTGTCAAACATTTTCCATTATTTTTAGTTGGCCAACATACCAGTAGTCACAAAGGGGTGGTGTTTAGTCCCCAAGTGAGTGGAGTAGCTGGGCACCCCGAACCTCCATGGATCGCACCCCTAACCTCCACGTCGCTTTGGAGGGGCGCGGATGATATGAGCCAATACGGCTCCCGTGCCTCTTTCCACCGTCGTCGGAGGCCATGGTGGAGAGTGGCCACGAGCAAGACATGTCACTGGGGCAGAACCTGCAGGGCCGAACCCAGGGATTTGGAGATGTTTTTTGAGTCACTTCTGAAGACCAAAGCAATGCCATGGGGGATCCGGACCTAGATTTTTTGGCATGTTGCCATCTTTTGGCATGTTGCCTCACTGGCTTTGTGGATGAAAAAGGCAGGACATAGCTGCCTATAGTTGGAAGATGCAGGTCTGTCATCATCATGTTCGTTGGTCTGCCTGGGGTCCACACGAACAAATCTTCTAAGAGCTGGGACACAGCGAGGAGAGCCTTATTTAGGCGGACAGTCACTTCTGGTTCTAGAGGATTGGGTACCCATGTAATGAATGTAATCAACAGGTTCAAAGCCGAGACTCTACAGCTTTCGCTGTTAGCAAGCAGGCCTTTACATGGTGGCCAAGGCGACTGAAAGCACCGCCGCGACCACGGCGATCCTGTTTGACCCGGTGGTGCCCTCCTGTCCACTTCGACCCAGGCGAGGTCTTCACTTCGAGCTCTTGCTAAACGGGCAGGCGACGCCCGCGCGTTGGCGGCGGTCGCGGCAGGGCAAGAATGCCGATGGGGAAGGGTTGAGAGGTAGGTGCCAATTGATAGGTCGCAACCCAGAACCCTTGGAAGCATTGGATCAATCAATATCTTTTAAAGGAACATACCATCTTCCTGCCTACTAGGGCAAACAGTTCCCGTTTTGAAGAACTTGTCCACAAAGGCCTCCTTTCAAAATCCAGCATATACCTTTGCGCATCCGGAAAGCACCGCCCAAGCCCACATCTGCGGAGTTTGATTTTACTTTCACACATCTCTCACCAAACCCACCGGTGGACACTTCGAAACATCTCGAAACCCTGGCGCTTGGCATGCGCCTGTGCCGGTTTGCGCCTGTCCTGGCCGCCTTCGTCGACCGGAACGGCCGTGGCCGTTCACGTCCACCGATCGCAGGTCTGGGCCTATGATGACACCGCGACGAACCTCCGTTCGTTGAAGGCGTGGCAGTCCACGCCGAGTCCACGCCGAGGGCCGAAGCCGCGGAGAGAAGCCCAGGGGGTGATGGTCTTGGACCCTTTGGTTTGCACAACAACCAGATCAGGATCCAATTGACTCAGAAAGTCAACAGACCCTTGGCTCCGAAGTCAGAACTATCAAGACTTTCGAAGTCAGAACACAGACCTCAGACTCGTCACAGATGACAGGTGGAGACACCACAATGGCGCATCTGCGATGTAACTAACTCCGTTTTCTTGGGGGGTGCGTGGCTGGGGCCCGTCACGGGTGGGATCTTCTTCCGACGCGGGTCCACGCGGGGCATGTTGCGTTCGGATGCGTCCGTTGCGCAGAGGGCAACGCGTTTTGGGACGTGGGGGAGGTAGCTGGTCCAAGAGCCTTTGAAAGACCCTGTGCAGACCATGAGCGGATGATGACTATCAAAAAGAAGGGTTGGACGAAGGGGTACCTGATTTGGGGAACTTCCTTACTTCACCGGGGCAAGTCATATATCATTGAATTCGACTTCTATAGGGCAGACAAATTGCCGGGAGTGCAGACAGACGATGTGAAGACCCCAGTAGCATGAGCTAGTGAAGAAAGGACTTCAGAAGCCAGTTTTTGTTGACTAGTGAAGGCCACTGCCTTGAGTGGCTCTATGTCGACTCCCCTTTCATCACTGATCTCCCAAGAAGGGAAGTCATTGACAGTCCGCTCGCGTCATGCCTGAATTATAGCGGCATCTCACACATCAGGAGGGCACCCAAACGGTTGAACGGACATCTCCGCCCCAGTCTGAGCCGTCTGAGCCACCATTGTTTTACGGATTTTGCACGACAAAACCAGGTCAGCCATGTTAAAAATAGTCTTGGATTTCATTTGATTTCCAGGGTTCCTGTTGATGTTTTTTGTCTTTGGCATTGCAATTAACACCCCAAGCGCCGCCGAGCAACACTGCTTTTGCCTGAAACCGCGGCCAGGGACAGCTCAATGAGCTTCAGAGACGTCTCAAGAAGTTGCGAGAAAATGGCGCCCAAAAACCGCGATGCCTTCGGCAGAGCGAGACTGTGTCTCAGAGACTGGGATTGAACAACGAGGTCCCCAGCATCTTCAGGGGTTGGCAGAGCAGCCTCGAGCTCCTCAGCCTTGAGGTCATGGGTCATTGAAGCATGGAACCTTGCAATGGATGATGTGCTTGGTTTTGCTTAATTAGGCATCTTAGGGCTTATATAGAGTGATCTTGATGTTTTTAACGGCTAATTCCGAGTAATTCCCCTTCTGGGGAATGCTTTCCTCAAGCAAAAGAAAGTTTGAGTGTTTCCAACACTACGAGGCCCCACCCAGTGAGTGGTTAAACCTCATTGACCTTTTGGGTGGGAAAAAAGGCTTTCCATGAACTCTAGGCTCTAGGCTCTAGGCTTTCCATGTCAACAGAGGGAGCTGCATGAGCTGTCCACCCTCCAGCGTCAGCAGACCTGTCCAACGTCCAACGCCGCTGTCCCTTTCGTGGTGGGGATAAGGAGTGCTTGAACATCCATGACGAGTATGACTCGTACGACGAGTCAGTGAATGAAAACATCTGAAGATCCAACCAGGTGTCTCTACTAGAGGGGGGTCATTCCCGGAGTCATTCCCCTACTATCATCTTTCATCCTCTTTCATCCTCTTTCATCCTCTTTCATCCTCTTTCATCTTTCACCAGTCTGATGCTCCAAGAAAGGGACAGTAAGGGTACCAGCACCCTATATACTACGTCTGTGTCTCCGAACCGGTGGGGGAGACCCATGGAGATGAAGAACGATGTGGGGTCTCCGGTGGTGACCGGGTTCCAATCGTCAGGTGCTGGTACTGTATCTGACCAGTAGAAGCTGGTCGAGCATCACCCTAAGCTTCTACTGGTCAGATACCAGCACCTGACTCTTACGTAGGTTCCACCGTGCTATGATGATCGATGATCTTCCTACTTTGCAACATTTATGCCGAACGAACGGCTGGTTTTATAACCAGGCATACATTTTGCACAGTCGGAAGATCTATAGGTATATATCTTGCAAGGGTTTATGGCCTCACACCGCCCTTATTGACCAATTCGTCGATCATCGACTCACGGATCATCGACTCACCGCGAGTAGCGCTCCGAGCGAGTAGCGCGAGGGCGCGATCGCGAGTAGCGCACCCGCAGGGCCTGGAGCAGCGTGGCTTCCAAGTGACGAGGCGGATGCTCCGTGGTTGGCAGAACGCGGATGGAACACACAGAGCTTTTGGTCTGGGAAGTGGGGGGTGGGATGCTCACAGGTCTTCAGGGTGGTGTGTGCCATTTTTTGTGTGATTTTTGTGCATCATTGGCGGTATTTTTGCATGGTTGGGACTTCAATCTGGATGAGCTGGGACAACCAGAGAGAGGGAGAGAGATGAGTGAAAGCAGAATAACAGGAGCTTTAGACATGAAAAGGAGAGCAAGTGGCTTCAGATGAAGAAAAGGGACTGATGCATCATAAGCTTTCATCTCTTCATGTCTCCCTTAACAGCCAATACAATACACGAAGAAAACCTAGGATTCTCCAAACACCCGGGGTTTTGTTGGGAAACCCGGGGTTGTTGTTTTGCATCCTTTTTCAATCTTTTTCATACCCGTTGAACTTTCCTCCGTGGTGGGCCTTGAGTCACTATAGAGCTACCATTCTATAGTAAATTCACTTTTGAAGCCTACCAAATGCACACCTGATTTACTTTCCACGTCTTTTTGTAGGAGGTTTCTTGGAGGCTCACGGGGCGCCATGCATTCTGCAGGTAAAAAAAGGGGTCAAGGCCAACATTTAGTATTTTTTTCCGAATTTGGACATGTCATTGTGTAAGACAAAACATGTCGAATACCTTATTCTGTAATGACTGTTGTGTGCTACATGTGTTCAAGTGTAGAAGAGCATATTGAAACAAATGCATGTTGAAACATTTTGTAAACATGCAATGCATTTCGCAGCCATTTTGGCAAAGTTTTGCCATGACCTCTGCGCAGAAGAAGAAGAATAGGAGCTGCTTCAATTGATCCGCAAGGACCTTTCCATCGGGAGTGGAGTGCATAGCAAAACACTATGCCGTGACCACCGCGAGCGGAGAAAGAAAACAGACTCCATCCCTCGCCAAAATGACTCCATCCCACGGCTGCTGGAGGCTTAACACCTACACCACTCAGCCACTGCTGCGGCCTACTCCCGAGGCTTTAGCGTGGGTGCCCAGGCGGACCAGTTCTGCTCGGTGGATGGTGGTTCTATTCTGAGGCAACTGTAATCAGAAGTTAGAGTCACGACTTGGAGTGAGGACCCTGGACTTGGAGTGGTGATTTTGTTGGGATGTCTCTTTCATTGGGCCAGCTTTGCACCTGTCTCCAAGCGCCCCCAGCAGTTCCCCCAGGAGTGGTCTTGAGTCCCTTCTTTCAGTGAGTGGATGTGACAGGGGCACCCCGACTACCTCCAAGTGCAGTGCTTTGGAACTGCTGGTATCCGGTATATACCAGGACCCTCCTGGCCAGGCTGGACTTGGAGACCCGACCACAGGTGATTTCTGGGCACCTCTTGTCACCAGGAAGCACCTGTTGGAGGGTTCTTTTTAGAGGTGTTCTCTCCTTTTCTTCAATGGACCTTTGGATTGGTTCAAGTTAAGGGAGAATCTACAGGTAACCACGGTTCTAACCCTGCAAAACCATGGGTTTCCTGTGAAGTTTAGTGCTTGGGACATTTCTGGAATTAGCTGGACACATGGTCCATGCTCAAATCCATTCCTGCATCCACTTCCATCCCCCAGACTCCCAACCACAGACCTCCCACCACCCGTCCCCCGCGTCGGTTTTGGACCGTCGTCTCGGACCGAACCTCCGCCGGAGGCGTTGATGGAAGAGACCTCCATCGCCACCTTCGGCAGCCCCAGCGCGGTCCGCGCATGGAGCAAGGCGTTGGGGCCGGGGAGTGAAGGAACAGCAGCTTGATGTGAAGGAAATCAACCGAATGCCTCCACTTGATTTCGAGTTTCTTCATGTTTCTTCAAAAACAGCAGCTTGACCAGGAGAGCAGCAGGTCTACTCCAACTTTCTTTCCCAATGTGTATGAAAATAGGGAGACCGAGACCTCCCATACAGGCCAAACGACCCCGGTTTGGAAGGCATGAGTGTCCACTCATGACCAGGTGGGTTTCCTCAGCGGCCAGGGAGAGGGCCCCTCCGCTTCGGACCAAGGTGACGCCACACCGGCCGCTCTGTGCCTGCATCGGCCGCTCGGCCCGGAGAGAGACGCGGATTCGCCGGACGCGACGGAACGGGGCCGGGGGGCTCGCGGCGGTACCTACGAGCTAAGAATGAAGCTATTAGAAACCAATAGAAACAAGGAAGCTAAGAATTACCAGGAGTCACAAAGGGGTGGTGTTTGGTCCCTAAGTGAGTGGAGTAGCTGGGCACCCATAACCTCCATTAAGCACCCCTTTGTGACTGCTGGTAGTATTCTAATTTAAGTCGAACTTTAATTAGAGCTGAAACAACAAATATTTCCCCGACGATGGTTCACCTGGTCCTAAGAAAGAGAAAGATCCGGGTTCTGGGTTCTGGCGATGTAAAACCAAACCATCACGAACGATCATGGAACATATGTGGATCTTCCAACTAAGCCAAATTTCTGCCTTTTGCTGATTTTATGGATGAAAAGGCATAAATTTGTCACAGTTGGAAGATCCTTATATGTGGGGGTTGGATGCATTCGAGCGCCTGAGATCCTGGGCTCTTCAAACCCAGATAACTTCGCCTCTTCCAAGCTTCGACGGCCACGGTATGGCCGAGCCGGGGCCGAGCCATGTGGCGCGTCTGGTAGGATTGGACTCGGAAGACCCTCTGGAGGGGTGGGAGGGGATCCCAAACTCCAGGTTGTGAGGGACGAGTTTGACGCGTCCATAGGCTGTTTTCACTCAGCGGCAAGTAGTTGAACTACTGCCCGACAAGGAGAAATCCCCAGACGCGGGGAACGGATCGTCTCCATCTGGGAAGGTAAGGATCATTCCAGGCCCAGGTGGAGGATCTCATGTTGGACCTGGGAAAAGACCGGCCAAGTTGGTTTACTCAGTTGTGCTACGATCGAAGCTCCATTTGCTGGGTCAAGCTGCGGTGATTCCATGTGATTCGGATCAAAAAGGTCAACATTCGAATTGAAACAGATTCTCTGAGCGGACAGGTGGCACTTCCCAAGCAGCTGCAGAGGCCAGTGCCATCTACTCTGAAACGAACTGTATTTCTTTTGGTGAAGATCAGCCGAGTTGAAGACTTGAATCGATTCCTAAGGGTGGAACCCCACGTGAACTTCCACGCACTGGGCACCCGCGGTCCAGCACGCGGTCCGCGCTCCGCTTTCTCAGTTGAGCCGATGGATGTCGACTGATCCGGGCGGGACATTGGCAACTGGGAGCCCAGAACCTCAAAAGGACCATCCGCCCATCTTACCCCTTCAATCGGGCCGCCCAACTTACCCGCAATAGGCCTTATATGGCCTTATGAAACGACCTCTTGGAGTCCATGGGGTTTTTTCGACCTCTTCGATCCCGGCGGTCCGACCCGCGTGCCACCCCGGTGACGGCGTGGAGACGCTGCGAGATCGACACCGAGATCGACCGCCCCGTCCGCCACCGTGCCAGCGTGCCACGGCCTTCGCGCGACGCTGCGAAGGCCGAAGGCTTCACCCACATCTTTGCTCCCGAGAGGCGCTTTCGAAACGGTGAAGGCATCCCCGGCCATGCGGCACGAGGTTGGAAGCCACTTGCGCGCCGCATGAAACCACGGCGCGTGGCTTTCTTGGGTGGAGGTGTTTGGACTGGATGCTTTTTGGTGGAGGTTTTCCGGTGAAGAGACGAAGCAATATCGAGGGTTCAGCATCTCCTTTGATTTGTTTGATTCTGCCAGGAGTTCCAACAGGAAGGTGGTGGTGCTTGATTACTGTAATGATTGTCCACACTCAGGGAGAACAATCCATCCCTTTGGAACTCCTTCGGACGGAGAAAAGACACCCAACTTGCAACTGGGACTCCGAAAACTCTACATGGACCCTGACTAACATGGCCTCCTGGAAGATGGTGGATTCCTCTACCAACCAGTGGGACTCTTCCAGGGTATAAACTCACCCATCCTCACTCTTCTCCTGACATGACCCTCCAGGGACAATGACCCTCCTGACCTCCTCACTCTTCTCTACTGGCCTTGTCCCAGGCCAGGGATTTCTGGCTGGGCCGAGGCGGGCCCTAAGGGGAGGGAGTGCGCGACGCTGGTCGGAGTGCGCGGAGTGCGCAGAGTCCCGTCCCAGGCGCTGGCGCGGGCGTCACAGCGCCGGAGCTCACGCTGTCGGGTTGGCCTTCGGCCCCCCCTCCGTCGGGGATGTGACGTTCGGGGCACCCTGCACTCCTTCCTCCTTCCTCCAGCACCGGCACCCCCCGACCTGTTTTTCTCTACCCTCCACAGACTGTTGATCGTCGGGGGGTCGGCAATTGGGTCGGAGCCGCCGGTCGTGGGCCGAAGTTGACGGGTTGAGCAAAAAAAACAAGCCACGCCAGGGTTCGACGACAGTGACGACATAGTGCATGTTTTGCACAGGAAAACGGTTTTGCCAGCAAGTCACTGCTCATCCAATTCAAATGACTCATGTGATTTTGTGACATGGTCATTGTGGGGTTGCATTGGTCAAACGCCGCAAGAAGCAGCTCAGACGGTCCGCATCTAGGTCAGCTTTGCTGACATTCGTGTCAGGATGGCGCGAACCAGCTGGTACGAGATGACCTTCACATCAAATGCCGAGACTATGGAGGAAGACCCCTTTACGGCTACCCAAGAGGCAGAAGCAAATGCAACAAATGCTTATGAGGCTCAGGAAGCTCATGAAGCGGACGAGCCAAGAGACACACCGCTTGACCTGGCTAGAGATGCAAGGGCCTTGCATGAAAACGGTACATGTGATCCATGTGTCTTCTTGGCTTCGGCTCATGGATGTTCCAAGGGGTTGGACTGTGAATTCTGTCACCTGCACCATCCAGAGGCCAATTCATCCAGCTTCACCCGCCCAAGGAAGGAGCGTCGCATGAGGATGAAGCGGCACATTCTGCAGCATCTCCAAGGACCCGATCCAGATGAAATGCAGCAAGCCTTGCAACGAGAAGCTCGACGCAGTCCGTATATGCGCTTCATCATCCCATCCCAAATCAATCTGCAACTTGGGGAGCCTCCTCCTGCTCTTAGAAGTGATGATATGTAAGGACACCAGCGTCACGAATGCGCAAGTACCTGTGTGCTGCCGAGTTCTGCAAGTCCTGGCAGTGAGTGCAGCGCACACCGTGTTGCCTTTGCAGTGACGTGGGGATCCTTGACAGTTTTGGACAGCAGAGCATCAGTTGTATGCCTTTGCTGAGCTGGGCCCACGCAGGGGCCTGCTGTACATATCACATTGACCGGGGATTCTCGCATTCTAGTGTCTATGGGATAAATGTAAACTCATTGCAAGCCACCATCACAAAAGAAAGGATTAGTCGGATTGGCCAACCAAGTCGTAAGCGAGATCCTGAGCGTGTCAATCGACCATCATGTCGTTGGCCCTTTAGGTGGCGTCGGGGTGTATCCTTGCGCCTTTTGGTGCCTGACCAAAAGAACCCAAGTCACAGATGTGGCAAAAAAAACTGTCCTCACTTGTGCAAATTTCAGTTGCGAGAGTTGTATGACAAGAATTTCTGGGTGTTTAACAAGATGATACAACTCTGTTCGATCAGAATATTTTGGACGGAGGGTTCTTTGGAGAGATGCGACATGACTTGAGGCTCCTGACATTGGATGCTTCTTCATCCGATTCAGTTTCACAGTAGTTTGAGTGCCTTGTACTGTTCTGTCGGCGCTTTCTATCATGTTCTATCTAGCTTTCTTCTTCTTCTCCCAGAGCAAATCTCCTATGTAGATTTTGTGACTGATTCTCCAAAGGCGACCGAACAGAGCTGCAATATATTTGCGAGACTGAGCATAGTTGATATGCTGAAAATCCTGCTCGAACGGCGATGTGTTCCCAATTTGGGTTCACCAAAGCAGATCCTGAAGCTTTTGCCACCTGCCGCAGTGGAAGTGGACCTGTTGGTGGATAAGGATTTTCCTCGGCAACAAATGCTTGGTTTTGCTTCGGGTGATGGTTATTTTCCATAGGTGAATCCCCTCCCTTGCGGACGCTCTTTGATGCAAATCCAAGTATCCCAGACTGAGACTTGGTTTAAGGGACCAATGACCCAGGAAACCGTGCTTCTCCTCGCAACAGCGATAGGTTTCGTCCCAAAAGCACGGATCCTTCAGGTACTGCGGAAAGATCCTATGTTCTCCTTCCATTCCCATTCCCACCGGGTGCTTCACCCATTTCTCGTTGCTTCGCGAATGGGGGCCGCCCGGCCAGGTCACAGTGACGGCGGTGAAGTCGTTGGGCGGTGAGCGGGTGTGAGCGGTGAGCGGCGCGGCGACCGAGGAGGAGAAAAAGGGCGGAGAGGGTGCAGCTGGTTTCGGGTACGAGGGAGGGAGTTTGGGAGCTTTCTTTTAGAGGTTTTTCCTGACCCTATGCGGCGGGGCTGGTTTCTGGGGAGGTGGCTTGCTGAAGAACTGGATTGAGACGACATATAATTAAGCATTTGCAACAATACATAATATATAGTATTATGAGACTATAATAGGACATAAGAACATATATATATATATATATACCTGGAACCCCACTGACCCCTGTTTTGATAGGAAAAGGCCATATTTTGGGTGGTTGGTGGTCCAAAATAGAGGTCATTCAGGTTCTAGGTATATATAGGATCATATAGGATCCTCAAAGGGACTAGGCGACTTGCTGTCAAACGAAACCACGCTCGGATCGATTTACACCGCTCGGTGTGGACGTTCGGCTCAAACAGCCTTCGGAACGCAGAAGACGCGATCTCTGACGTTTGGTTTCTGGAAGCGTGAGTTTCCTGCCCGTGTTCTTCCGTGCTCCTCAGCTGCTTTGCTTGGGGCCAGCGTTACCCAACGGAGGGGTTCCGAGTGTTTTTCACATGTCGGGAAGCAGATCAACCGGTCTCATTCGATCCTGGTCGCGCCATCCGAAGGCTCCATCCGACGTGATCATCCTTTATGACCACTGAGACCGGCTCCTGACGTGTGCTTGTAAAAAAACATTCTTCACTTGAGGTTTAGGGGTTTTGTCCTGTGTGGTCACCACTGGCCGAGAAAAAAGAACTATGCAGGTCGATTAGCTTGCATGTCCCAAACAGCTCTCACCTGGTACAGCTTCAGCTGTCTCAAAACCACCTTGAACCCCCACTTCAGTTTGCTGGACCATCAGACCTCAGCCAAACAGGCAGACGAATTCACAACCAATGGCCGCAGGTGCTTTCTCCACGCCATGGGACAAAGGGTGCATCGGATCTGGGACTGATTCACTTCCAAACTGCTCCCAGGCACAACAAGGTGGTACCAGCCCAAACTCCTTCGTTTTCCCTTGGTTTTTGGCCAACTCCTCCAGGCACAACAAGGAGCGGAGTCTTCTTTCTTCCCGCGGTTCCGAACCCGAAGATCGGTTTGTACAGCCGTCACCAGTCCCGCCATCTCCACAGCCATGTCACCACGCATGGACTCGTCCTCCGTTCGAACCACGCCACCGAGGTGCCTTCTGGACGAGCCGTGGAGCCGTCCCAGGCTTCGTGAGCCCGGCAGGTGCGAGGTTTGGGCTCGAGCTTGAAGCCGGTATATCATGGGTATATCTGGTTTGATCATGGGTATATTTTCTTTTGGAATTGAGCTCGAAAAGAACCATGATCTGCTAGACCGGTGTATTTCGAGCTCAATTCCAAAACAAGATATACCCATGCACAAACCGGCTGGTTCCTTTGGGAACGACACAGACCGAAAGATGAGAAGCTTCCGCAGCTTCCATGGCTTCCGACCAGTCTTCCGAACCGGAAGCCGCCGACCAGGTTTCATTTGTTTCATGCATCTAAATCATCTAAGAGTTTTAGACTTATAGATGCATTTGTATGCGTGATTTTTTCCAGCATCCCGGTGCTGGAGAGTACTGGAGATGGCGGAGAAAACCTGACTTCAACATCAATCGTTCCTACATGCTCTCCGTAAGACCAGCGATTCCTTGTTTTGCGAGCCTCCCTATACTCACTTATTGAGCCGGAAACAGCGCCCAAGATTCCGCCAGGTCTCCTATGATCCACATGCTGGGGACAAGCGGAAAGTCCTCACCCTTCGAATACCATCCTGACATCCTCACACGTCTTGTAGACTTCTCCAGGTCGAAGATTGCAAACGCCATCCAGGCGCAGAGTGGGACGGGATTCTGCAGTGGTGAATTGTGGTGACGCGGGACGTGGGTATGTGCCCAATCACAGCTACCTCCGCAGATGTTGAAGTTGGTTTATTTTGGTCGGATCGTAGAGTTGGTATTGCTATGCAGAGATTCGGCAGTTGAATCCGGCACAACTTCGGAGACTTGAGTGACTTTTGTGCTAGGCTATATTCATGTTTTGCAAGGGTAAACTGAAGCTTAAAGTCACTGCTCGTCCAATTCAAATGACTCATGTGATTTTGTGAGGTTGTCATCGTGGGGTTGCATTCTTCAAGTGCCGCAAGAAGCAGCTCAGACGGTCCGCACCCAGGTGAGCTTTGCTGACATTCGTGTCAGGATGGCGCGAACCAGCTGGTACGAGATGACCTTCACATCAAATGCCGAGACTATGGAGGAAGACCCCTTTACGGCTACCCAAGAGGCAGAAGCAAATGCAACAAGTGCTCATGAGGCTCAGGAAGCTCATGAAGGGGACGAGCCAAGAGACACACCGTTTGACCTGGCTAGAGATGCACGGGCCTTGCATGAAAACGGTACATGTGATCCATGTGTCTTCTTGGCTTCGGCTCATGGATGTTCCAAGGGGTTGGACTGTGAATTCTGTCACCTGCACCATCCAGAGGCCAATTCTTCCAGCTTCACCCGCCCAAGGAAGGAGCGTCGCATGAGGATGAAGCGGCACATTCTGCAGCATCTCCAAGGACCCGATCCAGATGAAATGCAGCAAGCCTTGCAACGAGAAGCTCGACGCAGTCCGTATATGCGCTTCATCATCCCATCCCAAATCAATCTTCATTTGGGGGAGCCTACACCTGCTTCCACGAGTGATGATAATATGTGAGGCAACCATCGTCACAAATCAGTGAGTACCTCTGTCAGATCCAGAGCATCTCGGGGGCACTCTTGTAACACAGCGTTCCGACTTTAACAGTTTTTGTCTATCCAGCATCAGCCAGGCCCACTGGCCGGCGGGTAATATGACGTTGACCAGGGATTCGCACAGCATAGTTGAAATGAATGCAATTAGCTTGTTTCAACCAACCATGACAGGAGAAATGATTAGCACAGCAAGGCAACAAGTCATAAGCGAGATCCTGAGCGTAGAAATCGACCTTCCATGTCTTTAGGTGGCCCCTTTTGGAGCCAGACCAAGAGGACCCGAGTCACAGCTGAGGTGGCAAAGAAGCTTGCCTAACAATTTCATCTGCGAAAGTTGTATGACATGATGAAGTTCTAGGTGTTCAAGTGTTCAAAGAGTATCAACAAGTAGTACAATTCAAGCACTGCCGTTGGATTCTTCTTCAACAATCTCCATACTTTTAAGAGAGGGTTTCTCGCGGACATGCGAACTGGCTGCTCGTCACATGTAATCTTTTTAAAGGTCAGTTTCACCTATAGTCTGAGTGCCTTGTACTGTTCTGTCGGCGCTTTCCTTCTTCTTCTTCTCCCAAAGCAAATTTCCCATCCAGGTTGTTTGTCCAGATTTTGTGACTGATTCTTCTCCCGGCGACCGAACAGAGCTGCAATCTATTTGCGACCGAACTGAGCAGAGTGATGCTGAAACTCCTCGATCGGCGACTTGTAGAGGGGCCGATCCGATCTGGGTCGACACAGACATCAGGGCTTCGACGCAGCCAATGACCAGTCACACCTCGGTGGAACGCACAAGAATGTCATCAAACATTTGCTGGAATCACGCGCAGGGAGGACAAAAAGGAGCCAAGGCACCACGGGTTTTCATTCTATACACCTGACAGGGTTATGGAAGACAGTTTTTTTCCCGAATGCATAGCGAAGGTTCTCGTTTCACTCTGGGGGCCTGGGGGTAGAGCCTTGTTCACGACTCATTGTCTGAGCAACCGCAACCGTTCGCAGTAGGGCGCTATGGCGCCTCTTTTTCTTGGGAAGCGTTTGGAGAGGGTTTTGGATGGAAGCATGACGTGTCAGGTTCGTGCGCAATAGCGAGGACACGTGTGGAAACATGAGATGTTGAAGTGTGGAGGATGATTTCACTGCGCAGGCGCAGCGTTTTGTGAGATGGTTTCTGTGCAGTCACACATTGGGATTGGCGTTTCGAGGGTTGTGTTTTTGGGGTGTTGGATGTCGCTGTGACATTGGGGTTGCGTTTCAGGCTGTTGCTTCGAAGCTGTGTTTTGGTGACAAGTCTCAGCTTAAGTGGTGGCTTTGGTGGATGGGAGTGTGCTCAGAACGTGTCGAAATCATTCCAAACGTGTGGTGTGGTGCAAATTCAATTTTGCTGAAGCTAATATGATCTGATATAGCCACTTTTCGTGGCAGGCGCAGTAGCTGGTACAGGTATTGAGGTGTGGATGTGCAATGTTCGTGGCAGTCGCAGGGAATCGTGAGGTTGCGAGGTTTGGCGGAGGTCACATGGTGCGGCTGGCACAGTACTTTGTGCGTGTTGGAGGCGTGCAAATTTTCGTGGCAGGCGCCGGGAAACGTGAGGTTGCGAGTTGTGGTGGAGGTGACTGTCGCTGTGACATTGGGATTGGGTGTGAGTGGGTGTTGTCTGGAGGGGCTGGAATCGTAAAACTGCTTGGCAGGGCTGCTTGATGTGTGTGCTCCGATGGGGCTCCCCGCTTGACTTTTGGAAGAAGTCTCGAACGAAATGCTCGTTTTGGAGACTTTGACATGCGACTTTTGGAGGAAGTCTCGTACGAAACGCGCGTTTTGGAGACTTGGCGAGTGAATGTTGGAAGAAGTCTCGTACGAAATGCTCATTTTGTAGACTTGACGCGTGACTTTTGGAGGAAGTCTTGTGCGAAACGCTTGTTTTGGAGAACTTGACGAGTGAATTTTGGAAGAAGTCTCGTACGAAACGCCAAGGTTTTGCAGACTTGCCTGACGCGTGACTTTTGGAGGAAGTCCAACAAGAGTGTCCCGCAAGAGTGCACCGCAAGAGTGTCCCACAACAGTGTCCTTTTTCAAGAGTGTCCCACAAGAGTGTCCTACAAGAGTGTTCCGCAAGAGTGTCCCCCAAGAGTGTGGCATGTGAGTGTCCCACAAGAGAGTCCCACAAGAGTGTTCCGCAAGAGTGCCCCACAAGAGTGTCCGACAAGAGTGTCCTACGAGAGTGTTTGCAAGAGTGTCCCACAAGAATGTCCGACAAGAGTGTCCTACAAGAGTGCCCCACAAGAGTGTCCTGCAAGAGTGTCCCACAAGAGTGTCCTACAAGAGTGTCCCACAAGAGTGTTTTACAAGAGTGTTCCGCAAGAGTGTCCCACAAGAGTGAGTGTCATACAAGGTGTCCCACAAGAGTGCACAAGAGTGTCCCACAAAGGTTTCCGTAAAAAGAATACGTCCTACAAGAGTGTTCCCTACAAGAGTGTCAATAGTTGTTTGGGTGCTTGTTTTCAAGTACGTGTTTGCATTCGGGTTCGTGGATTCCAGTTTGTTCTTTTAGAATTTTAACAAAATGGGGGGTAGGGCTCCCTACCTAGAAGTCTTTGCTAAAGAGCCAGAGTTTTGCAACACCAGGAAACAGCACACAAGATTCTGCCAGGAGTTCCATTCATTTTTGGGTGCCCATTCTCCTATGATCCACATGCTGGGGACAAGCGGAAGGTGCACTGTTCGAATACCATCCTGACATCCTCACAAGTCTTGTAGACCTCTGCAGGTCGAAGATTGCTGGCGCCGCAGGCGCAGAGTTTTCGGATTCCGCGGTGGAAGCTGGTGATCTGTGGTGACGCGGGACGTGGGGATGCGCGCAATCACAGCTACCTCCACAGATGTTGAAGTTGGATTGTTCTGGTCGCAGAGTTCACGCTCTGCAGAGAGTCTGTGGCCAGTTGTGGCCGGTAAAGCGAGAGCGAAAGACAATGGACTTCGGCGGCTTTTAGTGCTAAACATTCATGTTTTGTGCAGGAGAACTGAATCATGGCGTATGATTGTACTTGTACACTTTTTAAAAGCCCCATGATGGCTCATTGCATTTTGTGAAATGGTCATTGTGGGGTTGCAGTTGTCAAATGCCGCAAGAAGCAGCTCAGACGGTCCGCATCCAGGTCAGCTTTGCTGACAGTCGTGCCAGGATGGCGCGAACCAACTGGTACGAGATGACCTTCAACTCAGATGCCGAGACTTTGGAGGAAAACGTCTTTACCCAAGAGGCAGAAGCAAATGCAACAAGTGCTCATGAGGCAGACGATCCAAGAGGCACACCGTTTTCACTGGCCAGAGATGCAACGACCTTGCATGAAAATGGTATGTGTGATCCATGCGTCTTCTTGGCTTCGTGGATGTTCCAAGGGCTTGGACTGTGAATTCTGTCACCTGCACCATTCAGAGGCCAATTCATCCAGCTTCTCCCGCCCAAGGAAGGAGCGTCGCATGAGGATGAAGCGGCAGATTCTGCAGCATCTCCAAGGACCCGATCCAGATGAAATGCAGCAAGCCTTGCAACGAGAAGCTCGACGCAGTCCGTATATGCGCTTCATCATCCCATCCCAAATCAATCTTCATTTGGGGGAGCCTACTCCTGCTTCCACGAGTGATGATAATATGTGAGGCAACCATCGTCACAAATCAGCGAGTACCTCTGTCAGATTCAGAGCATCTCGGGGGCACTCTTGTAACACATGTTTAAACTTTAGATAGTGCTGCAAGTCATGGAGCGACGGGGTGTGTCCACAGCGCACCTTGTTCGCACCGGGGCAAGCAGCAGCCTTGTGCAGTGCAGGGCAAGAGGCCAAGTCTTTTTGTGTGCTGCCAAGTTCTGCACGTGATGGCAGTGCGTGCAGCGCACAGCGTTCCGCCCTTGACTTGTTTGTCTACCGAGCATCAGTTGTATGCTGTTGCTGAGCTGGGCCCACGGCGGCCTGCTGTTAATATCACTTTGAACAGGGATTCGCACAGCCTAGTGCCTGGAATGAATACAACTATAGATACAATTAGCTTGTTTCAACCAACCATGACATGAAACATGATTAGCGCAACAAGTCGCAAGCGAGATCCTGAGCATGGCAATCGACCTTGCATGTCGGTACAAATTTTCACTTGCAACAGTTGTAATATGACAAGAAGAAGCTCTGGGTGTTGGCCAAGAAGTTATCTCATTATGTCTCCGAGTTTTTTTACGTAACGTTTTGATCAGAATGTGTGGGGATTCGAGGGTTCTTGAGGGAGACATGGACAATAAGTTCTATTTGTTGGTACAGATGCCTTGGGGTGCTGCTGGTCACATTGACTGCCTCGAAGCGGCCGCCGCCACGCCACGGTGCCGAAGAAAAGGCACCCGCAAACACGAGGACCTGGACACCCAGTCCCGAGCTTGAGGTTCTGGCTGTTCGGAGCTTGAGATCCACATCAGTCTGGTCAAACCTGTCGAGTTCCGCAGTTCCCGGTGGTTCCCACATGGGCTGAGTTCGCTCGTTTCGCTCGCTCGCATGGACCCGCTGAACCCGCTTTTCCGCTCCCATGGACCGAAGGAGGACCGCCCGCTGGCTCAGCGGCCTCGGGGGAAAAGGAGCTGTGCAGACGGTGCCGAACACACGGTGCCCAACGGTGCCAGACGGTGCGAGAGGTGGAAGAAGCTCGATCCCTGTTGACATGATGACATCCTGGATCTGACCTGCCTATGCCAAATGTCTGCCGACCTTGGTTGATCTTTATGGACGAAGTTCGGCAGAGAGATGGCACAAGTAGGTCAGATCAATGATATATACCTTCCCACGAACACATCCCATGATCCGGAAGTGGAACAAAGATCCCCTGCTTCTGAAAAAGTCATCCCATCGGGGCTGCCATCCACGTAGTCACCGGATGCGTGTCCCATTCGTGTGTCGTCCTCACTCGTCCTCACGGCCAATCCTATTGGTGGAAGACGCACGAACGTCCAGGGCGCCAGAGGGGGAGACCGTTCACCCTTTCACCACAGAGCACGTACTCCCAAAACGCTGGTGCTTTCGAACCAAAGAAGGAGCTCGATGGTTTGGGATGACATGCAGGCTCATGGAGGCCACGAAAATCCTACGAAATCACAGCGCCCATCTCGTGCTTTCGAACCGGATTCAAAGGACTGTGGGCTTTGGGGGTACACGGCAAGAATATAGCAGAATGATATACTGCAAAGGATTCAAAAGCCAAATTCTCATCTGGCCTCCAAATGGAGTCTCTCAGTGATCGGCCTTGTTGCAGGCCAAAGTCCTCAACTGGGATCTCAAGTTTTTGACCACTTTGAAGGTTCTGGCACGGTTGAAGATACCCAGACCATCCATGGGACCAATAGTTACATACATTGACATGAAAACTCGTGAAAATCACCCTAATGAATGTCAGCAACTTTTCCAGTCCCATGCCGGGTCCAGGACCATCCGTTTCTCGGATGTCCTCAAAGGCCCCAACGACCATTCTCAGGAAGCACTTTCACCTCCAAGACCATCCTCAGGATGGTCCTGGACCCTTAGGGATGGATGGTCTGGGGATGGTTTGAGCAAGGCACACATCGAGGCGAGCTGACATCGCTACCTCGGTGCTGCTGAGTTGACGAATGTAGAAAGTTTGGGAAGCAGAAACCAATCTCTTACGTTGCGCAAGCGCAACATAGACTGGCCAGCTGGTAGGCGACTTGATGTCATTCCCAACCCGTAGAGAATGCCTGGATCCTTCAAAGGCGTCTTCAATGGAGATCCACAGGCAGTGCAGGGCATTGGAGACCCTTTGGAGGTGTGCTTATCTTCCAGAACCACCTTCAGTTTGCTGGACTGCCCTGTTTGCTTCGTGTGGACAACTGCTGCGATTCTTATTTTTTTCTCTCTGCCTTTGGCTCAGTTAAGACAGGGGTGACAGGCGGTGACTGGCTACGTAGAGGCAAGTCACTGGATAACATTGTCCTGCAGCAGAAAGACAGCCCCACCAAATCTTCGCGCCCGAAAAAGATCTCCTGGTCACTAAATCTGCTTTCCGTGCCAGGTCCGAAACTATCCTTTTGCGTCCAACAAGAATCTTGGGCCAGTGAGTGATGGCATGACTGGTCCATTTTTGAGTCGATTGTGGGGACTTCAGAAGATCTGTCACGTCCGATTCTGGCGCGGGCGTCCGATCTCATCGGAAGAAAGGAGGTGCTTTTTCAGAACCTGAAGCACCGGGCTGAGTAGGTCAAGAAGCGAGGACATGTCAGAGGCAACAGCCCAGCCCAGCAGCCGGCAGCCACAGAATAGATGGTTCCAACCAGCTTGAGACGTCCTTCCAAAAAGAAGGCCCAATCCCCCCCAAAAACACGTAACCAATGGGTCCGCCACCGCTCTTTTACAGCCCCCCCTCCTCCTGTTGAGACCCTCACACAGCCCAAACGGGCCCCGCCCGGGTGGGCCCCCGGCGGTTCATGGCGAATGGGATGGAGGAACTCTGGACCAGGTGCCGCGGCGCAGGGCGCAGAGGGGCGAGATCCGGTTTTTGCAGGGTGAGTTGGACCAAATCAGAGCCTGAGAGTTGGACCAACTGCGCAGACTAGGATTACATACGCGTAATCGCAGATCGAAATCGAATCTTTTGGTCCCGGGTTCCTGATCGAATCCCCTAGTGGAAGATGTTCCGATCCTGGCAGACCAAGAGCTCGCCAATTCAGACCGGAACTCGGGGACGTGTCTTATGGTTTTTTCGGGGCGTTGACCGTTGACCTCCGAACCTGAAGGTCGAAAGTGGAGGCCTCCAGCAGTTGATTGAGACTGTGACTGTGCAGTCTGAAGGTGAGACCTTTTGTGGGGTGATGGTTTTCCTTGTGTATCGCAGTACTGGTAACAGTTGGTAAACGATGAGCACTATTTTGCCGACAAACATTGATAGATAGCTCACTAAGGGTTGCTCGTCTTCCCATGGTTGGCTCCAAGTTCTCTCCCAGAAGCAGCGTTTTGGGAACTGCTGGGGTGAGACTTCCTTTGAACCCTTCGAACAATATTGTGGTGGGATCATGATGGATCATGTCTCTTTAGACAGTCTATAGGTGTTCCAAAAGATTCCAAAGGGCCAAAAAGGGGGCCAAAAGAAACTCCTTCGTTTCCGGCCTTTCGTGCTTCATCGCAGAAGGGGTTGGAAGAATGAGCCCATGGGAGTCCGCATCATGTAGACCCTGGGAGTCCAGTGGACTATTCAAAGAATCCAAGAGAGGTTGAACAGCCCATCCTAGCCCATCCCATATGTACCACTACAGGGTCCCATATGGTCTCTCAACCTCTCTTGGATGGTCTGAGTCTGATATAGGAATTTCCGATACTGAAGTAGTTGGGCAACCTCTCGTCTGGAATTCTGGAATTCTGGGGGAACATCTAGGTCGCAGCAGCCTTAGCAGCCTTCTTTCTTTTTGCTACGTGATGTGTGGCAGCTCTCCGGTTGAGAGCTTTCCGCTTTTGGCGGGCTTCACTGCACTGGCGCCCAGGGGGGGCGCCCGAAACGGACCAACCGGGTCTCGACGCTCCCGTGTCACACACCCACATCACACGCCCACCAGCGTTCAGCCCGCCCAGCGCGGGGGTCGAAGACCGCAGGGCGAAGTCTTCGGTTCTTCCGCGCAGTCTTCGGAGGTTTAGGGTTTCGGGTTGTTCAGCCCCCCGCGGGAGGTTTCAAGAATGGCTCCAAGAAGTGCAAAAGGATGCGCCCATGGATCTGTGGCTCCAGGCCGGGTTGGGAGGCAAGGACCCCACCTTGCAGCGGGTTTTAGGCCCCAAAACACCAGCGGTTCCATGTTGGAATGGTTTGCTTCGTCCCATTCAATCAGTGGATCTGACAGGGAATTCCACCATCTTCTCCAAGTTCGACCATGGAACTGCAGTTCCACAGAGTTGGGTGCTTCCGAACGGAGGAAGGAAGGAAGTCGGGGTGCCCCGAGGTCACTTTCTCCACGGCCCCGGTAACACTGGTCGTGTTTTCGGTCTTGTTTGGGCGGTTTGGGGGGACCTACAGAGGTTAAGTGACCGGTTTCATAGGACCCGGAAAACCAGGGGTACCTATGGGACAGTCTATAAGCCTCTGGTTGTGGCTTTTCTCTCAGGCAGTTGGCACCACAGGTTCCCATGACCGATGAAACAGGACCTGTTTCAGAGGGCAGCAGGGGGTAGTTTGAATCCACAACCGTTCCCAAACCAAAGCCATCTAAAGCCGTAGACCTATAGAAACCCTGGTTCCTTATACAAGGACCTTCCTGTCGCCCGTTGTTTTTTGGACACCCTCGAAAAAGCACCTAATTATTTGAGGCCAAAAAATGAGACACCCCGTAGTGTTCGTTGGGTCCCAATGACAACGGGGTGTCATCAAGGGGATTTCCACCATAGGATCGCCATCCAAGGCCATCCAAGGCCATAGGGTATCACTGGGAGGCCACGGCATGGGATTGTTTGAAGCCCTGGCGCTGGGCGCCTGGCCCGGCCCATCTCCGACCCGGTGACCGGTGGTCGATCGACCCCCCCCCTGGCACCACTCACGGCCGAACCGAAACGGTGGGACAGGAGCGCTATAACCCTAGGCTTCCAACAACCATTAATTTAATAGGCTGAATCCCGAATCAACTAAGGATTTTACACTACAAAAACCAGGTCGCTCCCATTTTTTAAATGGTCTTGGAAGCCTAGGGTAAGGGAAGGATTGACTGAGGATTTTACTGTACCCTGAGACTCCGCAGCTCTGGGAACCGGACTCAGTCCGACCTGCGCACGTTGCGCCGGCGCACGTTTCACGAACGGCCCGGTGCGGAGTCTTGCTTGAAGGCTCTTGCTGGTTGATAAGTCATATAGTTTATATATATATATATACATCGTCTACCAGGACCTTCCAAGATTCGGTGGTTTTGAGATGCCTCCTAACCTCTAAGAGGCTATTTATAGAATTTTATAGACACCTCTTGGAGGGTCCCGGGTACATACTATCTATAGTTAGTGGACTTCCGCTTACCAGAAACTCCCGTTCGAGCTCTTTGAGATGCTCCGAACCGCGCGAGGTTCTCGCGGTGCCTCGGTCGAGTCAATCGAGTCGAGTAGGAAGCCCCCCAAAACTGCTCCACTTGGTCAGTACTGCTCACTGCGGCCACCAATGAATCTCTTCCTATCGGACTCTGGGCCTCCAAGACCCCTCCACGACCTCTGGAAGATCCGGATGTTCCACTGCAGAGGGTGGGAAGTGACCAGATAGGAAGGAATGAGGGACCGCATGGGGAACTGCCCCATAAAAACCCATATGGCTTTGAGTGGTCCAATGCTTGAGGCCTCCGTCATGCCCGGTAGAGTCTCGGGTGCAGCAACCGCTGAAGTGGAGTTCGGTCGGGTATACAAGCCCCACATACCCTGGAGTCCTGGAGAGGTGGTGTTCACATGTGTTCACAGTTTCATCATATTTCATGAATCATATACTGTGCCTATATATAGATCTTCCAAGTATGCAACATGTCTGCCTTTGATGGATGACACATATGAACATTTGCACAGTTGGAAGATCTATCCCCTAAGGCTTCAGTCGGTGTGATCGGATCAGCGATACCCTCAACCGGCGCCCGGAGACCGTCCGGTTCGTTGGGTCTGCTCTTTTCTCGCCCCCCCAAAGCTGGTCTCCAGTCGTTTGGTTCAGGGCCGTGCAGGGCTCCACCAAAAGGGGCTCCAGTGCTTTTTGATGTCAGGGAGATGTGGATTTTTTGGAAGTCAAAGACTATAAAAAGGAATGGTCTGACGAACGGGGACCTGAGTTCGGGAACTTCCTGACACCTTCAGCCGGTCAATACGTATATCGTATCGTGTTTGGACTTCGGGATTCGTCGTAGGTGTCCCGACTTCGAGAGCTCTAAACGTCGGACGTTCTCTCGTGCTCCTCCAGCACGGGGCCAGGGTATGCAGCAGGGGGTCAAGGGGTGTCCATTAACATCCATTTAACCATTCTTTGCGGGTCCCACTTGCTTTCATCTTCGGCAGCTGTCAGCCGTTGTCCGATGTGTTTCCTTCCTTCCTTCGAAGAGCTCGCCGTTTCGCCTCGACTCGTTAGGCAGTGATCCTCCTCTTCCTCTGCGCGGGGTTCAGTGCCTCGACCGGGCACCGGGTCCATGGCGAAAGGGACGAAACACCTGGTCGCTTCGAGCGGAGATGGGGAGGAGGCGGGCGGTGGAGGAGGTTCCAACCAAACGTTTCTATAAGGAAACAGGCAGCTAAACGAAAGGGTTGGTTCGTATCTATATATTTCGTTCCGATCTTGTGCAGAGAAACAAGCTTGGCAGCGCGCAACTTGCTCGTGCTAACTGCTAAATCATTTCTTTTGGTTTGACTTTGGTGCAAGACAATGCCATGCCGAAACCTTACAAGCGCCGCGGCATCGATCGCGGCATCTTGAACGACCACCACTCGAGGAGAGATGATCTTTCTCACGGATGCTCACGGTGACTGCGCGCGAAGTTCAAGCTTTGGAAGTGGATCTTTTTCTTAAAAAAGACACGTCGAAACGCCACGGTGCTGGACTCTGACTGGTGTTTCTTGGGCCACGAGAGACGGTTTAAGAGGGGGGGGGGGCGAAAAAAGAAAACTCGGAGCCACGAAATGGACCTTGGAGTCCATCATCCAGCTTCTTCAAAGTGACCTTTTGAAGGTTCCCAAGTGACCCTTAGGAGGCTTAAGTGACCGAACCAACCAGGTTATCAAAAGGTCACTTTGAAGAACCATCATGGACATGTTTGAAAGGGATTTTTACTGTTCTATTCGTATTTCCTCTCTCTTGAGGGTGTCTCCACCGCCGAGCTGTTTACTGCTGCACACCAACCCCCCACACACCGCAAGCGTGCTGCAGCACTCCCCAGCGCCTCAGATGCGACCTCCTGGCTCCTGGGGACGAAGAAAGCCTCAGGCCGGTCGACGACGATGGCTGTTCTTCGGCGCCCGTTGGACGTTGGATGACCGGACTCTTTTGGTGTGGTCAATCCGATGATGTGTACCAGGTACGCCGGGGTCACCTGGCTGGTTTCGCCCCTACACTAAGGGACCTCCAGACAGGACACCCCGAAAGAAGCTCCAGGTAGACGTCATGCCATGTTCCTCTTTGATTCGCTCGTCCGCCGAGCGTGAAGGTCGCTACTACCAAGGGCGTTGGAAACGCAAGTCTGGTCTGCTCTCCCCCCTTTGTTTGGGGCGGGTGAGCGGTGAGCGGTCGGGTCGCAGACCGCTTAGAAAGGAACGACGCCCTCACCGAAGGGTTGGGTGAAGCCGGTCGCACCACGAGGTCCGGTTGGGAGATGTTTCACCCAACGACGAAAATCGAAAACACCTGGTGACCTGGTGCCTGTGGAGAATGAGATTGGACATCCACTGGCCACTGGCGCGCCAAGAAAATGGTCCGTCCGATCTCGACGAGCTTGCAAACCCTAGGGGCTGCCCCCCTCCTTTTCGAAGATGGGCAAGGGGTGTGTGGGTGCCAGGGGGGGTCCAACCACCGGTCACCTGAGAAATGGGCCAGGAGGTTTAGGGTTAACTCCACCAAGTCGGTCATGTAAGTGGCTGTGAGGCACCAAATGACCTTGGTTGATCTCCGGTCCAATGAACCGATTCCTCTTGTCTTCGGGATGTCAACCCACCAGGATGACAGGGGCTCCAAGTTTTGACCTGCCATGTAAGTGGCTATAAGCATGGACCCGAGAAAGGCCCCGTGTCCTGTCAGGACTCCAACGGGGGTGTTCTTTCGATCCACCCACGCATCCGGGATGATCTAAATACCAACCTGCTTTCTCAAGCAGAATACAGTTCTGGATGGAGGCTTCCCCGCTCCAAACGGCCACGCGGCCACTTGTGAAGGATCTCAAGGCACAGGAACCAACCAGAAGTGTTTGCTTGGGAAAGTGGGTTTCCAGGAGAGTCATGGAGAGTTGTGTGCCCTTTCGCCCTTTCCATCGCTCCCGTTTGGAGCCACCAAAGGGACCAAAAGAAGAACACGCATTGGGAGCGCGTAGTCGGAGATACCTCAGGAGTTCCGTAGCTGGGTTCTATGAAGTCGGGTGTTTGTTACATGGAGGATATGTTCCACTTTCCTTATGGCCTAAATACCACTCCTTTGGAACTCGTTAGAGCCTTTTTGGATTCCGCAGAGTGAAAACGAAGCGCCATAACCCGTAGCCATACCCCAGACCAAGGAAAGGACAGATGGACTAGGTTGAGATTTTGTATATTAAGAGCAACATAGAGCAACTGAAAGAAGGAGAAAGAAAGGGTTTGTTTTGATGCAAGATCCATCTATATATAAATCAATGGTTGGAATCTTGACTGATTTTTAGCTCTTTTTCTCGGGATACAGTAAGTACCATCACCGCATTCCTTCCCCCCGCCATCTCTCTTTTTCGCGCACCAACCGTGCGAAACGATGCGACAACGGTGCGTGGCAGGCGCCGCGCAGAAGCCAAGTCCTCCGAAGCACGCCGAAGCACCCAGCCGACCTTCGCCGAAGGCGACCGAGCAGACTGCGCTGGATCAGCGGTGGTCATGATCTGTCAGTGAAATTCACCCCCTCCCTGAAGCAAACAATGGTTACGTAGCTGTTTGGACCCCCCCCTGTTTGGACCCGCGGATTTCCATGGGATTTTTCGTAAGGAGCCATGCCATCCACTAGAGGGTCATGGAGGATAGGGGTGCCCAGCCTTTGAGTTGGGTATCGAGCTGTGGCGATTGGCACTCCAAATCTCGCAGAACTCGACCGCCGACCGCTGGGAATCGTCGACCTCGGTGCGTCGGGACGCCTTCTACTGGCATTTACCAGGACCTTCCAAGTCCGGTGGCTTTAGAAGCCGACCACAGGTGGTGAACCTGGGCACCTGCTGCTACCAGGAAACACCGACCTTTACGAGTTGATTTCTTCCACGGCTCTACGTGATTGGTGGCTTCCTCACCGCCCCCTTCCTCACCACTGCGACCCGAGCCGACCCGCCAGGTGCGCGAGGTCGAGGCGCCCGAGGCACGCGGTGGCGGGGGACCGATTTGTCCCATTGACACACGAACAGACTACCTGGACCTTCAAGGGGTGTCCTGGCTGGAGGTCCCTGATTGTGGTGTAGGGGCGAAACCAGCCAGGTGACCCCGACATGAAGGTGCTGGTACCAACCCCACGAATTCATCGCATTTCTATGATTTGATTTTGTTTAGGGCGCACGGCATCTTCTTTTACACTCCTTCTACTACTCCTTCTCAGGTTAGTGGGCAGTGGGCCGGCATGTCAAGAAGGTAGCTCCCAAACTAGTGTGGATCTTCATCAACCGAGACCATAAAACACCAACTGATCAACAAGGAGTTTGTTCAGCCTGGATCCCTGCCCCTTTCACCAGGGACCTGATCGGCTTTATATCTTTGATCTGGAGCTTCTTATCCTCTTGGGTGGCGAAAACTTGAGGCAAGTGGTTGGGAACCATATCCCCCTGACCTTACTTCCTATACCTATAGATCTTCCGACTGTGCAACATGTCTGCCTTTTCATCCATACAACCAGCTTAAAAGGCAGAACTTTCGCATAGTTGGCAGATCTATAGGTATAAGCTGAAGTTGCCTGCTCCACTGCTGACGTGTGCCATCAAAGAAGCTTGAGCAACTAGCCGCGAAAAGAGCGGCTAGAGGGTTGTTCGCAGACTTGGTTGCATTGCCTGGGGATTGTCTTGCTGCAGTTCTAGGTCCAGGTCGGTGCTTCTGCTTGGCGGTATGGTCCCGCGCTAAGGACCCCCCTGGCAAGCACCGAAGACACCTCAGTATCCTCGGCATTCAAACGCCTGAGTAGTGCAGAGGGATCCCTTAGAGGCTCCTGGCCGCGCCTTAAACAAAAGCCATCGCCGTTTTGTAGAGCTCGTCTTAGAAGTAACACCTGGATGGACTTTCTGCACCTGCCTTGACCCACAAAACCCGGGCCAAACCGGCAGGTGAAGCGACCTGGGCCAAGTTGGGATCCTCAGGTGAAGCGAGCAACTGCGGCTCGATCCCGGGTACCACCCCAATTCGCTGCACCCGCTGCAGCTCCGCAAACAGCGATGTTCATGGTTCGAGGGTTTGAGGGAAGGAGAGGGAGAGACCAAGGACGGCTCAACGATGGCTCAACGACGGCTCGGTTTGCCGACGTTTGCCAGGGATTGATGTTGGGCTTTTATGAGCTGCCTTCAACTTAGACATTTGTAGTGGTTAATATGCAGTACCAGTAACAGTCGGTAAAAGAGTATGCACTATTTTTCGATATGTAGGCCTCCACCATCATCCACTGGGCGCTGGTAATGGGATAACCACTTGGGCTTTGTACCCATTCTTAAAGGGGGGGACGTTGGTCATTGGGGATTCGTCTTTGCAGGATGCCTCCTTGCCAACTTGCACGGGATTTCTGTTGGGGGGCAACGCATCCCAAAACGAGACCAACAATCTTCGAATAGATTGGCGGGTGTGAACAAGAAGCTACTAGGAGCAAGGGTATCGCTACTAGGGGCTCCTGGCATCGCTAGTAGGAGCAATGTTCGCTACTAGGGGCTCCTGGCCTTACTACTAGGAACAAGAAGCTACTAGGAGCAAGGGCATCGCTACTAGGGCGGGTGTGATGATTTCACCTTTCACCAGAGGAACAAGAGGTACAGCGACCAAACACATCACCCTGGAAGTGGAGGCGCTGAACCCCTTGTTTGGGAAGACATTTCTTTGGACCGAGATAGGCTGAGAAGTCCGTCGGAGTGATGTCTTCGCCGAGCTGTGGCCATGATTGATCGGACGTCCATTTTTTCCTCTGAGACGAGAACGTTCATCGTTCCAGTCACGGACGGAAACTAAGGGATGCCGACTTTGAGCGTTTTTCATACGCTCAACGACAACGTTTGAAAGTGGCAAGACCGCCATCTATATGGCCTTGCACTATTTGTTTGTTGGTTGATTCATAGAAAGGATACCATCCCCTGGGGCTCCAGTCGTACCTCCTTAGGTTCGGTATGACTGGACCCTCCTGGCACCCACCCCAGTCCCACCTTTGAAACGAAGCTCCGACTGGAGCCCTAGGGATCGGTCGCGTACGCAGCTTCCCAAGAGGTATACCTATATGGTACAGTGCACATCGCCCCATTGACTTCTTCCCGGTTCGGTGGTACGGAGCCCGCTGTCTGCACCGACCGAGTTGGACTAAAACGTCCGGTCCAGCCCTACACGACCGTGGGTCTTCTAGGGCGGAGGACGTCCCATGGAGAGTCATGAAGAACAACGCGAGGACATCCGTAAGAGTTTGACCCTATGGATGCCCGACCCCTATGGATGCCCGAGATCGCTTGATTTTAACATGGTCTGAATCCTGCAGAACCATATAGTTTTACTCAGGATTCTAGACAACACCAATCAGCTAAGAACATGCAGAACACCATTGAACAAATCAGTCACCTGGTTCTTCAAAGTGACTGAACTTGATAACCTGGTTTGAGGTCACCAACAGGCCTGTAGCAGGTCACTTGGGAACTCCAAAAAGTGCTGGGAATGCTTGGGGAAGAACCCCAAAACGCCCCGAAGCCTTTGCCCCAAAAGCCTTTTTTGGCATGTGGAACTCGATGCTTTCATTTGGGGCCAAAGCTTAGTCGGCCCCTGACCACCTTTCCGAGAAGTTGGGTGGGCGATAGATGCTGGTGACGGTTTTTTTCACCAGCTCCAAGGTGTTTGGTGCGGTCTGGGTTTTCCAGATGCCCCCAAAGGAGTTCCAGCACAAGTAGGTGGATCTTTAGATGTGTTCGGTGTGTAGCTCAAATAGAGAGACCTTAATTGTTTGCAAGAAGGAACATTAATAGACCAAAACATACCAGTCTACCCATTGGACCAGGGTGTCTCCCTATTAAAATACACAGCCATGTAGACACATGTGAGACTCAAACATGGACACTTCCACTCCTCACTCCTCCCCCAACGATAACGCGCGCTTTTTCTTCCCCGCGTGTAGCCGCCAAAAAACCCTCCAAGACGATGAAGCAATGGTGGATCTGGTTTTTGCAGCTGTAGAATCCATAGTAAAACAGCTCGGTTCTTCGGGACGCGGAAAATCCTTGATCAAACAGCTTGATCTTCTTAGCCTCTTCGGTGGGCCACCAGAAAACTGGTGGGGTTTCTTGGCCCATGGCCCTCCATGGCCCTCTTGGGTACGCTGCGATGGCGGTTCTCGCGACCGGAGGGACGCTCCTCGGGCCGTCCGAAACCGCCGGGACGACACGGCGCATCGTCACCGTGGCATCTGGCACAGCAGTCGGCAGGGGTGGTGTGGCCCATGCGAGATCATATCCAGGGCGGGCGCGGAGTAAAGACGTAGAGCTTCAAGGAACTTTGAGGCCATTGAAACGCAGTTTGAATTTTGGAAACTGGAAGCCAAATTGCGTTTTGTTTGCCAACAGCGTGACTCTACATAATAAGCAATGTTGAAGCACCTGAAACACGAGCTGAAGAGAAGATCTGATAAGATCTTCATTTTACAGATGTCCTTCCAAAATTCTTCGGAGGTTTCAGAAAAAAAGAGATCACCATGTTTTTTTACACTTACTCCTTTGTCACATCGACTTCTTCGACACTGGAAATGGGTTGATGGTTCAGATCCACGCATCCTCCACTGTTTCGGGTTTTCACCTTCAGATCTCTTCAGCAGCTGAGCATCGCGCCTCGCCATGCCGATTGCGGGTCGGGAGAACCGTCTGGAGGCCGAGCGAGGATGAGGATGAGGTCAGTGGGCCGGAGTGGCCGAACTCATCAGTTGAAGAAGTTGAAGAAGAGTTCAAGAGCCTGATGAGTCATACCTAGATCTTCCAACTGTGCAAATTTTCTGCCTTTTCATCCATAAGACCTGCCCCCTTTGGCAGATATTTTGCATCATTGGAAGATCTGCAGGTCGGATGAGGCTTACATTTCATATTATGTCTTAGGTTCTAACGTGGAATGCAGAGGGGTCGCTGGACAACCCTATAGGTCTCCAGAAAGGACATTAAAAGCACTTGGTAGATCAGATGTGGTAGACATGTGATTTTGACATCGCGGCAAACAGCGATGTGATTTTGGGCGGCCCTGACGGTTTACCAGCTAGGCCCATTCCCATTCCCTTGGAAGTCTAGGCCCCTTCACCTATGCGGCTGTGGGCCTCCGGAACTCACCCTGGTAACTGGTCCATGTCCCAGCACCTTCCAAGCTTCAGTGGTTTTGGGACACCTCGACTCAGCTCTATACGAGGCGATGTATAGACACCTCAAATGGTGTCGGTCCTGGTCTAGGTAAGTTGAACCCTGGAAGTCCCGTTCGACGAGAAAACCGGACCGACTGTTACGTAGCGTAGTAACAGGACCTTCCTGAGGATCTCGGGTCACCTACACCCAGTCAGAGCATTTCTTTTTAGAGTCGACTGGACTCCCAGGGTTTATAGTGTATCAGTCTATTCTGTTCATGTTCTGTGGGACAAAGCCAGGGTGTTGACCCCCGACGTCTGCCTTTCAGGTTACCTCGGTTCCTAGGCGTTTCCTCGGAAGGGCTTCGAGTTGACCAGGGCAGGCAGCTGCAGGTATGCAAAGAGGAGATGCCAAGAGGCTGCGACACTTGCACTCCTGGCCTTGCACGGGAAAAAAGAAAAGCCGCCACCCTTCGCAAAACCCCCCCCCCAAAAAAATAGACTCCCTAAACCATTTAGATCAGATGATATATACAGACTCTTCCTCCACATTCGTTTTCCACGACCACACCTGTCGTTTTGGACTCGTCTTCCCGGCTCACAGAGCGACTCACACCGACCTCACCGGGTTCCGACGGGGGTTCGCACCGCACCGACCGCCGAGCGAACGGTCCCGAGGCCTGAGCACCTCGGGGTCCTTGGAAACCACACAGGTCTGGCAGAAGGCGCGGAGACCGACCGCGGCGGAACCGCGGGGCGCGCGGCTCGGACCTGACACTGGGACGGCTCGGACGGGTCGGACGGGTCGGACCCGACACAGCTGGTGGATGATGTGGACAGATTCTTCCACTTCGGAGGATTCGTGGCTTCGGAGGATTCGTGGCCGGGAAGAATGAAGAAGGTTGACTGTTCCCAGCCCAAGAGTCCAAAATGACTCATTGTCCTTCTGTGGCAGTGGTGGAGGATGACTTCCAGGTGGGGTAACATGAGGTAAATGAGTCAAAACGTACGTTCTGGGCTACAAAACCGTCAGGTGTCTCTCCAAAACCATCCGAACTCACTGCTGCTCCGCTGCTGGGTGGTTTGTTCTTCTTCGGTTTGCTGCTCCTCTGCTGCGCATGTCGCCCCGCAGGCCGTGGGGTACGATCCCTATGCAGGTGAAGGAGAAGCTCAAGCAGAGGTGCCCAAGTGCTGGTAGTGCCAGAGAAGCTCGAGCAGGGCCACCAGTGGTCTCTTTTAACAGAAACACTCGTACAGTAACATGACCAGTAACTTAAGGTATGAGACGACTCGTCTAAAAAGTAACATTTTATACAGTACCAAAAGTTGTTACAGTAACATTTAAGATATACTCGTCTAGTTGTTGTGGGGGTCAACCAGGCAGAACTTCTGGGGCGAATGATGTGGGCTCGTGTCCCGCCTCGGCTCCCGACCTCGACCAGACTCGTCGACCGAACAGCTCAGCTTGTTTCGAGTATCCACGGAGGGTATGAGGTCCGGAACCCTGACCTGTTTGGAACTTCAGATGATGATGGTTGTTCCAACTTCGGGTGGGTACCAGTATACCAGTCGCAGTCGGCAAACAGCTTATCACTCATTTTTTTTGGGGAAAGGCCTGCAACCTAACACAACCTAACACAACCCAACACAACCTCATCATCCTCATCATCCTCATCCTCATCCTCATCCTCCTCCTCCTCCTCCTCCTCCTCATCATCATCATCATCATCATCATCATCCATGGGCCCCGGTAATTTATGGTAATTTGATATACCCAAGTTTCGACAGTTCTTCTTTGATGATTGACTGCGTGTTCGCTTTTGCTCCTCAGAAATGGTTTACATACGCTACAGAGTTTAACCTACGGAGAAACAAGAAGAGCTGCTTAATTCTGACCACCCCAGCCTTCCATCACTGCGACCACGAAATAGGCAGAGAAAAGGATTCCAAGAGCTCCAATGTCACTGCTTCTTCATTTCTTCAAGTCTAGTTTTGTCTAAACCTTCAGCTGGTTGAGATCAACCTCAGCCCCCAAGTATCTCCACTTGAACGTTCACCCCCATGGCACACAACCTGGCATGGCACACATCCTGGTATGTTTGGCGTCCGGGGTTCGGCGGATCGGATTTTGGCCCTTTCCCCGGTTCCCGGGTGAATCTTCGAACTTCCCCATGCCAGGAGATTCACCCAGTTCAACATCCAAAACGACACCCTCTCCGGGGAAGTTGGGTGTCTTTCGGATGTTCCAGAGCATGAGACATCTTCTTCAAGTTCGGGGGAACATCCCAAAAAGACACCCAACTTCACCAACTTCACCAAGCCACCAAGCCTCCAAGCCTCCGCACGATCCCGCAGGGCTTGGGGCCCGGGGAGATCAACTCTTCGGCCAAGGGCTTGTTCCGCCTGGCACAGCTCACAGGAGAACCGGAGCCCAGCGACGAGCTCCGAGGGTCCACCGGATCCGTTCTGGCGAGGTCCTTGAGGTCACGTCGTTTGTAACGGGTCCACTTGGGTTTGGTAGGGTGGACGAGCAAAGAACATAGTACTTAGGTACATTTATACATATATCATCAGATAGTATATAATACCTGTTTCTGTTCCTGCCCAAACCTTTCCCAAGCACTTGCAACTATCAATTGAGTAGATGAAACAAGATGTTAACAATAGAGGTGGAATTGATCTTTAACTCGTAGAACTGCACAGTCTCAGGTCGAAACGAAACTGCGCAGTGAAGAAGGGCAACTCGTTCAGGACATTCGAGCACCATTGCACCTGGAGCCTGTAAGAGGTGCGGCTGAAGGCCATGTTTTCTGTAGATGTGCATCCAAGCTGCCTTGATCACTCATGCGTTATTTTATTCCTGGTGCATCAGCAACATCGATGATGTGTTATTTGTTTGTGAATCCCCTTCTGGGACATATGGTTCCTTCAGCAAATCCAAGATATGGTCTATTGCAGAGCTTCAAGATTCAAGATCTCGATTCCACCCTGCTGAGGTCGTCCTGGGCCCCCTGTCTTTTTTTTGGTGGCGGTTTGTAGATGGAGGCGGTTTGAGTATCACATCCCACGTTTTGGACAACAAGACGTGGTTCCTCTTGCGGTGTTTTGGTGAGTTCCTGTGTCGACCTCAGGGTTCCTATGGGTTCCTGGGCTCCTTAAACCTCAGCGCGTGAAACAGGCAAAGCTGGTGAGGTTTGAGGAACTTGGAGATGGAGATGGGATGTCGCCTCTCCCACCAGCACGTGTTCTGAACTTGGCGGATCAAGTGATTTTGGATTGTCTCGAACTGGGAACATCCTCTTCTGCCCGGTTGGAATCCGGCCCCTTCACCAACACATAGGGTTTGGTCCCGGACCCCGGACGCGCAACTCGGTGGAGAAGGTCCGGTCCGACCCCCCATGGAGAGCCCGGTACGCTCGGAGACAGAAGGGCGGCGAGTCTTTTCGAAGAGTCGTCCGTCCCGGGTGGCCGTTGCACACAGCGACGACAAGGCCCTGCCAAGGTGGCAGTGTTCTTTGTGGAACCAGCGAAACGACGAGTTTCTCCATCGAATGGGGTCGGTTTTTTTGATTGAAAGGACCAGCTCACGAAAGAGGACCCAGGGACGCTCAGAAACCCGGTTTTGCTCTCCGAACTGGGGTCCGCCCAACATGTAGCAGTGCTTCGGGCGGGTTGCCTCTGTTCTTTTTTTTTGGCTTCGTCCAATAAACCATCCCCACTTTCACCACTGGTGATCGAACAAACACATGACCTGGATCCCCTCTGGGAAATCCAAACAGTTACCCGTTCGCCTTCAGTTTGACCCTTTCTAAAATGGGAACGAGGTGACCTGAAGTTTGAAATCGCCAGTCAAACAGCTGGGCGGTTCCGGATTCAGACCAAACGGTGCTTTGAACCCTTATATGAATTCTATGGGGTTAGTTCAATCACCCTCCGTTTTTCGTGGAGGTATACACCCCAAACACGTCCCGTGAGTGTTTCACCTCAGGAACCGGGGGGGGCGCAACCTGTTCGCCCACCGCCCATGCCGGGTCCCGTCCCTTCCACGCCAGGTGCGGCTCGGTGGGGCACCTCTACTTCCAGTGCCGGAACATGTTCACGCTGCGGAAGGCCGATCTGACTCCCCCTGGATTCAGGTCGACCGCCAGGTGTCAGGAAAAAGACGGCCATGATCTTCCAGGTGTGCCGCAAACAGATCTGCCATCATCCATCAAACCAGCCAGCCGCCAAGTTCGGCAGACATGTTGCACAGCTGGAAGATCGGGTATAATAAATTATCACAAGAATATCATCTACATCTGCTTTTGGTACCATCCCCAGACCTGTCCTGGCTGGACGCTGCTAGCCCCCCAGCCCACTACTGGATTTTGAGCGGACACCGGATGGTCGACCGGGGTACAGGGAGACCTCCGATCGCCCTGGCTGGGTTCACTTAGGGATCGGCCTGAGAACCCCGGGAGCTGCACGTGGTTTTGCTCACGGGAAGAAGGTTGTCAGACGTTGCAGGGCTAAACACGAGGGATGTGGATGCCGGCGTAAATCCTGGAGACGTGTCTTTAGATTTATATAGATTTGTTTTGTCATTTTCATTGACCGTTGAGTGATTTTGTGAAGACCTGTGTGTCCGCATAAAGAAGTAATCAGCTTTTACTCCAACTCTGTGCGAGAGTGCTGGTATAACCGGATCTTTCCCAATAGGCTCCTGAGTTGTCCTGGATCACCTTTTATATCATGTTACTTTTGGATTTGAAGCTGGTAACATGGGACACAGCGACACACGGACCTACCATGAAGGTATGTTTTGTTTTTTCCGGATGAAGAGCTGCGGAGATCTCCGCGTTTACGCCACGGTGTCCCAGGCAATCCGTACAAACATCGGAGGGTCAAGATCTTCGTAACTTGGAGGTTTGATGTAGACATATCTATAGATCTTCCAACTATGCAAAAAGATTCAGCTTTTGGATCCTTTTGGCAGGTTTCATGGATGAAAAGGCAGAACATTTGCACAGTTGGAAGATCTAGGCACTGTGGGAATGTTTGAACATTTCTCAGTTTCCCAGGCATGTCCTAAACCGGCCGGGACTCATGAAAACCTGATGTCGGACCGAGCAGCCTCCGAGCCAAATCCTGCGGCAAGTGGTGCGGAAATGAAGGGAGCGTCGCAACAAAGATGGGTAGTAAAGAAGGATTTGGTGTATTTCTGCGGAATTGGGGCAGTGCTTTTTCGTTTGTTTCGATCTTTTTGGATGCCGACTCGCAGGAAGAGAAGAAGCTGGACCAGTTTGTAGAAGACGATGATGACGAGGATGAAGCCAGTCCGGGATCCTGGCATCGACAGCGGACAGCTCTGCGGACAGCTGTGGAGGGGGGTCAGCGCTCCTCATCCGCTCCCTGGATCTCGACTCAACAGAAGACCTGGCTTACCCGATCTTGGGCAGCCTTTTGGATGCTTTTGGTCCCTCTGAGCTGGATCACGTCCCGGTGGATCGTGGATCGTGAATCTCGATCCACGATCCGATCGATGTCGTCAAAGTGGAGACCTCTGACTGGTCCTTCTTCTCGGGCGAAACGTGGAGGTTCATTTTCGTAGGGAGGCGCCCAACCAATCAACCAATGTGTTCTTACCCTAAACCTCCTGGCCCATCTCCGGCCATCGGTTCGGTGGGGCTACCAGGGTGGGTGGGTGCCCAGGGGGGTCGATCTAACCACCGGTCACCAGGTCGGGTATGGGGGCCAGGAGCCCAAACGGGTGAATTGCAATTAGAATTTGTTACTAATAGCTTCTTGCTACGAGCCGAGCGTAAGGCACTTGTTACGAACCGAGCGTAAGGCACTTGTTACGAACCGAGCGTAAGGCACTTGCTACGAACCGAGCGTAAGGCACTTGTTACGAACGTAGCGTAAGGCACTTGTTACGAACCGAGCGTAAGGCACTTGTTACGAACGTAGCGTAAGGCACTTGTTACGAACGTAAGGCAACCAACCCAACCCATCACCGTCTCTTATCCGAACCTCCACGCCACGCGGACCGCCGCGGACCGCTACCGGTCAGGCGAAGCTCTGCCGAGCTCCGAGGCGATGATAGATCGCTGCGGTGGGGGTGAAACCTGAGGGTTTTCTGAGAGGTGGAGCCAAGAGAGGTGGAAGGACCTGAAGGTTGCTTTCTTCCCGAGATCAGACCTGGAACCTTGTTTTGACCCCTGTTTTGATAGGAAGTTTGGCCATATTTTGGGTGGTTGGTGGTCCAAAATAGAGGTCAGACTCAGCTTTTAGGCATCTGCTGTAGACCCGGATCTTCCAACTATGCCCGTTTGGTCTGCCGACCTTGGCTGATCTTTATGGATGAAGTTCGGCAGAACTATGGCACAGTTGGAAGATCGAGGTATAGACTATCCGCAGGTTACGGGTTCTTTTTCAGGTCACTTGTAGAACCTCTCTTGGTTTGGCGGAAAGGGTCTGGTTGTGGCAAAGGAGCTGTTTCGCTATGGACATCCATTCTTTTGGGTCGACCGAAAGAGGATGAACATTGAAAAGGGGGGGCGACCACCGGGAGCAGGTTTCTACTGTATAAGCTATTGTATCAGATGCGTAAGATGTGTGTTTCTCTCACCCCGCGCAAGGAAGGCCCGACAAACCTTTTCAAATCGTTTTGGTGGAGAGGCCACACCTTAGAAGAGGCAGTCTTTTCATGGGTCCAGTTTCAGGTTCTAAGTCAACGTTGGTTAAGTTGGGTACGGAGCTCGATACCGCCACATCTAACATCATCTATAGTGATCCCCAAAGATAGAAACAGCTGCTGCTGCTGCTGCTTCTGCTGCTGCTTGGTAGCTGCTGCTGCTGCTTCTGCTGCATCCTGGAACAGTTTAGCTGATAATCTGTTTATTTTTTTCCTATGTGTAATCATCTACAAGTGCTAAACCCCTTCCTTTTTGGTGGGCCGTGAGAAGGACCGTGCAGCGCTGTGAGCCGTTGCGTAGGATGACAGCGATGACAGCGACAGCGACGATTCCGATGACTCCGACGAGGAGATCCGCGCGCGTGGGGAATGCCGGCAATGAACCACGCTTAGGAGTGCTTGGAATTGCAAAAACTTTGGATCACTTACTAGATTGACCTTATTCAAAAGACTCAGCATGATCACTTAGATGATCTTAGTATTAGATTTTAGTGCTTTACAATTCCAATGGTGGAATTGTGCAGTGAATGCAGGTTCGAGGGTTTTCTCAAAGGACGCAGAGACGGTTCTGTGAATTGGAAAGGGTGCTTGGAGGCCTTCGAGGAAGAAGACATGCCATGATGATTTTTGGGTTCTAAGGGGATCCTGGAAGACTTCTTTTGCTGTCGCCAAACCAGTGAGAGGTTTGCAAGTAATCATGAAACTCGTACCCAGTGGATCTCAGTTACCAGTTACAACTGCATAATCATGCATAATCCATATAAAGATCCAGACGGGTTTCGGTCGGTCTACAGCTTAAATCTTTGAAACCACTGGTGACCTAGTACTATAGTCCAGTCTTGGTTTTTCAGGTGATTTTTTTCCCATGGTTAAGTCCCCTTCTCGTGAATATGTTATTTTTCAGGCAATTCAAGTAGTGGTTTTACTGGATCCATTGCGGTTCTTCGATTCACTGACCAGTCAACAGCCAGCCAGCCGAGGAGTCTTCCTCGCCGGGCGGCTGAGGGATGATGACCAAAACCGCCGAGGGAGCGTTGAATCCAGCTTTTCCCCGAAAGATCTGCCAGGAGTCACAAAGTATAGTTGCCAGGTATAGTTGCCAGCTCCAAAGGAATCGTTTCTAGTCCCCAAATCATGTGCATAACAACAGGTAACAGTCCAACAATGCCTAACAACCAGGAGTCACATGGAGTTGGGTGGTTTTTGGTCCAGGGGCCGTGGATCTTTGATGTGACCACCCCAACTCCTTCCTCCGAACTCGGAACCGGCACCCAACTCCATCGAACTACTGGTTCTTGTATAAAAGTTGTATGGTAATTGGAGTTCATTTGGAGTTCACTCAATTTCAGGCCAAGGGATGTTGAGAGACCCACACTCTGACACCTGCACACTTCTTGGGACTGGCCCCTGCACAGTCATAGCCTTTGTCACTTGTTTGGAGAGAGCCCGTAGTCTAACCATCATTTTATCCACTGGAATCCACTGACTGTGAGGGCCATAGGCGGCCATCAGGCTCACATTCCCAGATCATTGGACAGAAAACCCCCCCCAAACGCCCTAGGCTTTCTGCTTTCTGATAAGTGTTTGATTAGTTTTGATGAGTCTCATGAGGGTTCTGAACGCTACCTAGTCGGATATGGTTGGTGTGGGGTCTTACTAGACGGACCACACTGATTGTTTAATGCAGAAGACATTCCATCATTTTCCATAGAGGCTCATTGTCTTTGTGTGTCCATGTCGTCATGCCCAAAACACCGGGTTCCGGCTGCCCAGAATGGTGTTTTATTTTTTGGTTCCACCACCACTGACTTCGGTGGGAGTGGTTCCCCCCCCAAAACCACCCAAACCACCAGCCTGCGTCACGCCTTCGGTCGCGCCCGAGGTCCAGTTCACACAAGAAGAAGAAGAGGACTCCGGGCACCCTAAATGGGGGACCCTCCCAAAGGGGGGAAAGCGAAACGCCCGAGGGAGTAGTCACTACAGTGTTTGCTTTGTCGGGTGATGCAGTCTTGACTTTCCCGGTTCCTGGGTGTAGCTAGTTGGGTCCGACGCTTGTGGAGGTATAGACAAGTTATGACAGATAAGAACCCCTAGGGCTCCTGGCCCATACCCGACCCGGTGACCGGTGGTTAGATCGACCCCCCCCCCTGGGCACCCACCCACCCCTGGCCCACCGAACCGAAACGGAGGTGGGCCAGGAGCCCTGAGGAACATTCCAACAGAATTAAACAAAAAGGGTCGTGAAATATCCCTGGCATGGGGAAGCTGTTTCTTTTTTTCCTTCTCCCGGCTTCTGGGACAGCAAATCCGACATGAAATAGGCAAACCTTGGTAGTGGCAATGCTGGTTGGCAATCTGGTGGAACGAGTGGCTTGCTGTACCCTGGAAGTCCAAGACCATTTTTTAACATTATTGATCTGGTCGTTGGCAACATCCGTAGAACAATTTATGGCTGTTCGGTATTAAATCCATGGCCTGGGTGATCCTCCCAAATTCAACATCGATCTCGCTGTCTCCGTCGTGAGCAGCGGATGAACTGGTTATTCCAACGACCTCGACGAGCTGAGCGGTTGACCGAATTCCATCTCTGCCAAGGGCTGAGGGATGCGGACCTCGTCTGGTGAGAGTTGCATGTGGGACCAAGTGGCTGGAGCTCCCGAAACCTCCCTGTTCATGTTTAGTGGTTTAGTGGTTCATGTTTAGTTTGGTCATATTTAGTGATTCATGTTTAGCAAATAGCTTGTTCATGTTCAATGCTGGGCAGATGCCATAGGTTTTGAGAGCCACTCTGGCATGCCGAAAGAACCCACATCCAAGCAACTCGCCTGACAAAACCTTATGGCCCAGCGAACAGGCTCGACGCGTCAAACGCGAACCGTCTCCGTGCGTCCGAACCGCCGCGCGGTTCGACGAAGCGAAACTCAGCCGTTTCGGCTTCGGCGTGGCCTGAGCAGTTCGGCTTGTGCTGAAATGAGCGAAAGAGAAAACGGATGTGTGCGTTACAACAGGACACCCAGACCAGACTCACAAAAGGTGAAGTTCTCCTCATAGATGGGATTCTGTTTCTCTTGTTGGTCTCGACCACATTACTATACAAAAGTTTCTTGAATGTGAAAGGAGGTCAACAGCTCACTGCAGGTGTGATAAGTGACTGGCTGCTCGCCCAGCTTCACCTCACAAACGCACTCAAAACCCAGAGCGATGACTCAGATAAATAGGGTGGTGGCTCCATGTGGCTCACGTCAACAGGAGCCACAGCCTGAACTTGGAATATCATCTTAGTCTTAGTTTAATTTCTGATTTACTGAGAACTCTTCAACCAACAGTAGGCAGCTGGTTTTCAATGGCTTTAAACCCCTGAGGCTCCCCAAGAGCATCTGAATGATCAAACCGCACAACTACTTGCCTACATCAGACTGCCGCGCATGAAGCGATGGAAAGCGGTGGATACTTGGAATCATTGGTGAGGTGATTGCTTTCGAACAAGAAGGTGCTGAGCATATCCACGGGCTGGCTGTGAACATCTAGGACAGGATTTACCCCCAAACCCCTCGGATCCACGGCCCCCCTTGGGGTCGATGAGGGTCCATGAGCATCTGGGTGGATGAGATTGATTCACCTTTCGGAGGCCGCCTCGGTTGTCCAATACCTCCTCATCCCTCTGAGACCGCTCGGGGTTTGGGACCCACTGGAAGATCCTGAGCAGTCACCCCGTGGGTTTCGAGCATGTTCCGAAGACCAACCAACAGTGCTTTGCAGGAGAGTACTCTCCCTGGAACTCACATGGTTACGTGGAGTTCACCACCTGTTTGTAGTGAAAAATGGTCTTCCTTACGGGGCCATGCCATCCACTTCCATGTGAGTTCTAGGGAGTGTAGTCACTAACGGCCACACCGTTTTGTGGGCCCGAGAGACTCGCTGACCAGCCACGAGCTGACGACCTGGATGGCCTGGCCATGCCTGGCCATGCCTAGGATGACCATGTTCCTCAAACTGGTGGTTTGGCTCACTCCACATATAGGGGTCCCCGAATACATGGCATCTGAAAAATGACATGTTAATGCAATCTTTTTTACGACGGAAAACGGACCCTATATTATCATATATTCTATGCTTGACTCAGCACCGCCTAGGTGCTCCTGAGTCTTCTTTGCCTTGATGAGAGGCTGGGACGCCCGCTCTTCGCAACGCCCCAAGCGAAAGAAGCGCCCCAAACGAAGCTGAAGAAAGAACTGCAGCTCTCCGGAGCCTCTCGGACGGCTTGGTGGGCCCTTTCTTTCGGCCGAAGTACATGGGGCGGTGGGAAGATCCGGAACATCCAGTCCTTTGAGCTGGAAAGAGCTTCTCCAGGTGGAGGATACATTCTTATGGAATGCTATGTATATAAGCCTTGCGTCTGATCACTTCAACGACACGAACACTGGGTACTTGGTACTTGGAACAGTCCTGGATGCGGCCCTTTCCTGGGTATTTCACCTTGTCATGCGGATTTTGCTGTTCGTTCGTGCTCCCTAAATTTTGAATAGATCAACCTTTTCCAATGTTCCAACATACTTAGCATTAAGAAAATGGACCAGTCTATCAGGAAAAGGAGTGGGAAGAGAAGAACCCCAAAAACAAAGAACACACCTTGAGACTGTAGGGATCATAGTGAGCCAGATGCCGGCATTCTGATCCTGCCTACCGTCCCAGGTTCGGTCCGTGGATCTTGGCCTTCTGAGAAGACCATTCAAAGAACAGGTGGACCTGGTTTTGTAGTGTAAACTCAGTCAGCTCCGTGCCAGGCGTGCTTTTCTTGAGATGGGTGAAACACATGCAACAATCAACACGTGTAGAAAGAACGTGCCGGCGGTAAGAACGTTTGCACGATACAGGGAGACACTTTTGGGTTTGGGCATGGTTCGGAATTCTTTTTCTGGCCACAAGAGTCTACCGCAGAAACAGACGAATTTGACCCTTCCCAGAACCCCCATGAGTCTTCATTGTGTCTTCCCCCTTCATCCACCACCCACATCCACCCACCCGAATCCACAAGTTCACCAGTTCTGGATAGTTCTGGCTGTTTTTCGCTGAGGACTTGATGCAGTTTGCAGTGGAGAACAAGCAAACCCCTCAGGAGACATCGGATGGTGCTCGCGCCGCCTCCACATCCGAAGGATGCTCTTGCCATCGATACCCCCGATGGCCGTATCGGTGGTCGGTGTTTTTGGTGGCCAGTGTCTGAATGGAGTGGAGTGGAATTTTGCCAAAAATTTGTGGGACCAGATATAGATGTGGGACCAAAGACTACGTGGACCATCCTGAGGATGTCCTGAAAGGCCCCAGGCAACGACCATTCTCAGGACGTACGTACTCACCTCCAAGCCTATCCTCAGCATGGTCCTGGACCTAGGGTACAGTATCGACCTCCAAGCTTTGACGATCTTTGCCATGTTGTGCGCAGGTTCACCTTGGGGCGACTCTCTGACCCCCCCCTTCACTGGCTCGTTCGGTCACCAGTCGGTTCCAAGTGGACCTGGCAGGTGGTGTTTCTGCTGGTGTCTGGAAAAAGACCGGCCATGATCTTCCAAGTATGCCAAGGATATCTGCCTTTTTCATCCATCCAACCAGCCGTTCGTTCGGCAGGGATCCGGTGCAACGCCTGGGATCATGGGTGACGGTCTTCGAAGTTCAGCATCACTGCACTGAGGGTATAACATGGGGGTTCTGGAGAGGTCTTTTTGATCAACCTGCACCCTTTTCCGATGTTTAACCTGGTCTGTAAGAATCCCAGCATCTTCGTACTGATTGGTAGACCTGGTAGGCCAAGAGCAGGGGGCCCCCTTCTTGGATCTGGGGCCTATGAACCTGACTGTGAACGCCTGGTCTGAAACTGCTGTGTCCAGCTCGGGGCGGGTTTGGGAGCGTTTTGGGTGAAAAAACCGGGACAGTCACGGTACCGCCCACTCTAGAACGGTGTTCTAGAAATATAAGACATGCTGACATGCCTTTCTTACCTTGACTGTCCAAAAAAGACACGGCGTACTCTTGGAACCCTTAGAAGTCCTTTGGGCTTAGAAGGGATTTCTCACTAAACCAATCTAAACCACTATATATAGACTATAGAGGTGAAACCCTTCGCAAAGGACCAGGCTGGGACAGCCATGCGACGGAGTTAGTCCAAGCTTCCTGCAGCAAAAATGGGACCTGCCAACCTGAAAACGCGGAGGAGGTGAAAGAGAAGCAAAAGCTGCTATCTCTCTTCCTGGAGATTGCCAGGAATAGTCCTCTGGCTGCAGCCAGGCACGGGTGGTTGGACCAGATCTTCTCTCTGATATGGGGATAGGGTTGCACCCTTGACCGGCAAGCAATACATGCATATATATATATACATATGACCCTCAACAACAACCTCCTTTGCGCAACACGTGAGGGCTCTACTGGCAAATGCTTGTAAAGGGATTTATATAAACATGTTTTATCCTTGCAAACAGGTGTGCCCAGTTTAGCAAGTGATTTGTTGCCCTCTTGGAAAACTCTTTTGCGTTACGAGAGCTTGCTTCCAAACCATGCAACATCATGTAACATCTCTTATAGCTCGGCGAAGGCTTGGGTAGACCCTGCAAGAAGACCTGGTCCCTGCAAGAAGACCTAGACCAAGATGCCGAAAAATCGCTGGAACTTTGAACCAGAAACAGTTCTGGATGGAACGAAACCCAGTCCGGGCCACCCATGGGATCTCAATGGCCATCCTGCTGTGGGTCAAAACCTGGAGCTCCAAACTTTGGACGGTCGACCTGGCTGGTAATCGATTGCTGTTCATTTTGGGTGGGGAAAAACACCCCAGGTCGCCATGACCCATGCAGTGCCATGACCCAGTTGCCAATATGGATTTCTGCTGGACTGGGCTTTTCCCTTGCCGCTTCTCGTTGTGTTCCCCGAGGTACCCGAACGCTGAAGGCTTTGCAGAATCGCACGCGTCTTGGGCCGCAGACGAGCGAGCTCCATGCAGAGTCGATGGGATAGGGCCGATGGAATCGCCAGCGACATGGTAGAAGACCAAGAATGAAGACAGAAGTACTGCACTCTATACTCGGACCCAAGCTATTCGGAGTTGGCACAGAATGACCCAGATGCTCTTCACCAGCAAAACCGGGGGTCTCAGGCTTCTCAGGTGAGTTGCAACCACGCTACATAGGCCCCCCGACTTGGATCTTTGCCAATTTGCTCCATCCGTTTGACAGGGGGTTCTGGAGCGTCACCCGGGCGCAGTCGATCACAGAAGAGGGGAGAGCCCGGGATAGACAGCATACTTGGGCAGACAGCAGTTGTGCTAGGGCCGCTAGGGCTGATGAGTCCAGCCACTTGCAGCGCGACTACTCGGCGCCTCCTTAGCCCCTTAGACGCCCGAAGACACAGCCACGTCACGCTGTAGAACCTGCAACCGCAACCCCCGAGTAGCAAAACCATGGAAAGAACGACCGTCCGACTGTAGCAGAGTAGTATAGCCATCCCACTTCAACGGTCAACCACTGTCACATATTGTCACATATTGTCACTCGATCCCACTTCTCAGCCTCCATTTTCGTGGCACTGAACAGGTTCACTCCCCCATCCGCGTCCTCGCCGTGCCGCTCGCCCGCGCCGCGCTTTCACCGCGCGTCCGCCCGCGCCGTGGCCGCGATCGGCGGACTGCGACGCTGCTCAGGGCCTCGATCTCCATGTTGCCCTTCGGCTCCTGCGTCACAGGCTGCGGTGCCCGAGGCGTGCTATCATGCACTTCACGTTTGGATGGCACGAAAAAAGACATGTGGTCATCTCAGTGGTTGCTTCACCGTAGCGACCACACGCACTTGGCAAGTGAAGGAACATTGATGATTGGTCTTCCATTGATCACAGGTATTGGTCCTTCATGGGTCTTCCATTCGATGATTGGTCTTCCATGCAAGTGATTGGTCTTAGATTCTTGGGGAGTCACATTTGCTCATCTCCATCCCTCACGAGTTGGTCTGGGAGTAACAGGGTCTCCATCCGAGAGGGGAGCGCGCGGACCCGATGAAAGAAGAGCGACCTGGATGAACAGTTGGACGAAGTCTGGACGAAGGACGTCGTTGGGAGCTGACAGGGAGGCCGTTGACCAAAGGATCTTTCCTTGCATACAAGGAAGCTGACCAGCTGTGGAAGGAAGTGGACTGTCAGCTGGTGAGTCTCGGTCTTGAGTCTTGACAGATCATCTACATCAAGTCCAAACAAAAAACTAAAGCCTGATACATTTGGAGCCCCCCCCCCTGGGAGTATTTGGACCCCCCCTGGGAGTTTTGAGCACTTCCCACTTGAATCCTTTCACATCTATGCCGGGCATGAAGACTTCCGGCACAGAGTCTGGACCCTCAGTTCGCCGACCTGTTTCGACCTGTTTCGACCCCTCACGAGATGAGGGTGAAATGAACCTTTAGCAGTTGCTCATGGGTCGCTCCTTCCGCGCCCGTTTCCGCGCTCCGCGCGTCCGCGCTCCGCTGGTTTTCACGGGTTGCTGGAGCAGGGAAGGTGTCCCAGACGCAGGACGGATCGGATCCATGCGATCCAGGAGATCCATGACAGGTGCTGATGTGGATGCGTGTGTCTTCTTCGAGGATGCGGCTCCACCAGACAGAAATGTGCTGAGAAGAGTACAGATGCTTGGCAGAAGAGGAAGAGAAGCATGAGAGTCTCTTTTCTTCAAGAGGCAAGAGGGATGCAATGAGATGGAAAACCACTCCGACTCTCTAAGATGGGACGTGGAAAACCACTGATTTATACGTTTTATACATGTAATCTAGTTTGCACCAGGAGCACCCAGACCAGGGTCTATTGATAGCCCCTGTCCGTTGATAGCACCCAGACCAGGTGGGTCCTGGTAGAGGCCACTCTTCGTCAGGTCCACTTCCACCTTTGACCCATGGCTCGATGGGCCGATGGGAAGAGCCACCCAACGACCAGGGCCCATCGGGCCCATCGGGGTGTCCAATCCAATAGCTCCTTATAGAGGTTATTCTTTTTTGATCCAAAAGACAGCTAGTAAGCTATCTGAACCTACCTTCCACCCTGTACACGGTCTTCTCCATACAGCTATCTTTTTACCACCCCAAACAGGGGGCCCAACTACCGCTTTCCGAGTACGCCGAGTACCGCGGAGCGAACCAGCAGAGCGAACCTTTCCAGGGGTCGCGTTGAGGTCGGCGTGGTGAAGAGGTCGGCGTCGGCCCGTCGCGTGACGTTTCGACAGAAGCGGGTGGGGGGAAAAGATGGAAAAAGGTGGCACCCACGAGTGACGTGTGCCCCACTGAAATCCAACGAGTTCTTTTTTTTCCCCCTGAAACGTGTCATCAGGTTGCTTCGTACACCTGTCTTGGAAGATGGCCTGGCGCCAGCCCAGTCAGTTGCGGGATCCAGCACGGCCGTCTCCGGGTTCGCCCGGATGAACAACGGCGAACACGGCTTTCACACCCACCGGTGAACACGACAGGAAACGAGCCTCGCCATGGGCCCTCGCCCTTCGGCGGAGCCTAGGAAGTGGGTGAGCAAGGGGCGCTATGCCAAGTCGGAGTTCATCCCCTCCTGGGGCATTCCACTTCTGAAGGTTGAAGCTTGGCGAAGCACTTTGGAGCGGGTGAAATCACCTATACTACATATACTTTTGGCCGGTTTTATGGGATGAGCCGGCAGAAATTGGGCAATGCTTGGAACATCTATCGGTATATGTGGGGACCCTGGAATTCCGGAGGTCCGACCATTTCATACCATCGATGGTTCGGTCGTCGATGTGATTCGATGGGAGCTTCGACTTCGGGGATGCCGCGTAGCAGACCTGGGCCCGACCAGTCCACCGTTTGATCCTGCGCGTGAGTTCGACCAACACCTGGTTGATCCTGGTGGTGTGTTGCGTCCACCGTCTCTTGAATGATTCATCAAAACGTGCGTTCAGTTTGGAACGTGGACTTCGTTGCACCCTGGTTGGACCAGAGGTGTATCAAGGTGGACTGGAACATTGAACAACCCAAGACTCTGTGCTTGGTCTCAAGATGGATTGGACTGGGACACAAAGCTGGTCTTTGGATGTCTTTGGTCCGCATCCGAATACTGCAGCAGAAGCTCGCGCCACAATGCCTATTCTTTCCTGGGGATTTTACACCAAGCCATGCTCCGGATGCTACGGCTGCCAAGGGTTTCTCAGGTTCTGGAGCACTCTTTTCACCACTTCAGATCCTTCCGCTCGCAGATCCTTTCGCTCTGTGTCTTGAGACTCAGAGCTGGGAGCTCCTTTCGGTCATGCTGCCGGGGCAGAAATACCGTTTCTTTTCTTTTCGGGAGACCCGGCTAGGTGCGCCGTGGAGTGGATTTGGACCTCAGCTGCAACAACGTGATCCCGGTCTTCAACACCTTCCTCTTGAGGACAGGACCCAGTCCGGAGGTCTTTTGGCGTCCACCGAAGGGAAGGCAAAGAACTGGTGGAGGCGAAATAAGACACCCTTTGGGGCGCAGATCCATCTTCGGGGCTCAGATCCATCTCTGGACGTTGTCGACGGTCGATCAAGTCGGTTCGAACGAAGAACCGGTCTTTTTCAGCATCTCTTCAACCATGAAGCGAAGAGCTGCCATCCCAGCCCACTGCATCCCACTGGCGCATGGCGAGAGTCCATCCGTCCGTCAGGAGCTACGTGGAAATCATGCCAGAGCTGGCCGTTCTGGTGACTTGGCACGGCACCAAGCGGTGGTGGCGCGTTGCCGAGCGGCGACGGGCGGTGGCCGAGCGGAGCGGTGAACGCTCAGAGACTCCTCGGTTCGCTCGGTGGTGTTCGGTTCCGCGGTCGCTGGAGGCCATGGCGGTGAAGTGCTGGGCCAAGAGGCAAGAGGTCGGTGCCTTGGATGAGCAGTGGACGCGGTCGCTGTGGGGCGGAGGGCGAAGCCGGACCACTGTGACCCGGCCGACCGGTGTTGGTAGGAGATTCTTAAGGACCTAAAGGCTAAAGGTCAGTAGATAGGTAGACTTGTTGGAACATGTTGGAACTTTATGTTGTTTTGCACTCAATTGCATACTCAATCCTTCAAATACCGCAGGAAAAGAACTGTAGGACTGTTTTTTTTTTTTTTCCATGGCCTTGCAGCGCCAGTTGCACGTTGAGCCGAGCATCGCATCGTTGAGCATGGCATCGGAGGGCACCCGAACAGGGTGTTCTAGGAGCCCCTTTTTCTTTGCAGGTCTCCCAGGATTGAAACATCCAGTCTTCGCGACCAAAGAAAATGGAAAACCCTGGTTCTTTGGGCAGGATTCAGATTTGTGAGGGATTCATGAGGATTTTTCCTCCCTTCCCCCCAAATGATTCCCACTGGGAACGGTGGCACAAGCAAGTGAGCAAGTGGTTCTGACCGGGCCAAGGTCGGTTTTCCTTCTCAGTGGGGCAGCCCCCCTCTCATCAAGCTTACACTCCGATGAACACATGGTTTCGTGGAAAACCCTCCTCTTTGTAAAGGAAAGTCGTCTTCAATTCAGGGCACCATGCCATCCACGTCAGGTTGTACTAGCACATGTTTGGTCCGCGTATGTCGGCTTTGTTTAAATTAAGACCAATTTTCCATGGCGCAATTGGGAACCATTTTCAGGACCCGACGAGAGCGCACCCCCGAAAAAGAACGAAAAGGCACCAGCGAACAGGGTTGAATAGAACACTGGATATCACACCAGGACCATTAGTTTAATGGTTCTTACCGTATAAGGATTAAAACAAATATCGTACAAAACCAGGTCCACCAATTTGCTTTCTAATGGTCGAACGGACGGCTAGACGTGGAGCGCCACTTCATCGAATTTCGATATGAAAAGGACCTTCGGGCCAAACAAACTGAGAGACCGATTCGGATTCTGATTGAAGTCTTTCTTTTCAGATTCATCTGTCTTCTTTTTGGCAGAGGCACTCGCTTGTTGGACTTCCCTGCCGATTCTGGACCATGGACCCATGACTCATTGGTAGTATAAGTGTTTCTTTCTCTGCCCGAGCTGGGTGAATCCCCTAGCATGGGGAAGAGTTGAAACAGGATTTTGGTTGTAGAATGGCTGGAGGACGTTTATGTTGGTATGTCAGCTCTCATTGGGGCCTCCACCTAAATAGCATCCACCCAGAGCCTCGTCGCAAGCCGACAGTAGACGATTCTCCAGATATCCTGCTCATGTGGGAATCAGAATATATCAGAATCTTCACATCCAAACTGTTGGATGAGTGAAACCGAGTCAAACAACGTGTATACAGTACGAACTATACTTTCAAGCCTGAAAGACCTCGCATCCAACACTGATCAAGCACCCATGCACCGCACACCACCCTTCCACCGAACACATCCCCCTGTTCACCACCGTTCACCACCGAAAACACACATACCTTCCAGGTCTATCACGAAAGAGCCTCCCACCCGGCCGACCGGGCCGTTTCGCGCCCTCGCGACCGAGGCTCCGTGCTGGACGGCGGCCTCTCGTTCCTTCGCTTCGCGGAGCACGGGGGGTCCGGGTGTGTGGCGGGTGAGGTCCGGGGGGGTCCGGGATCAGAGACAGGTTAGACGAGGGGTGGAGGAACCAGTGAGGAAAGAAAAGACGACAGAGAATGACTTGCAACTTGGAGATCTTTTGGGATGTTCTCTCAGGCGTGGTCCGTGGTCTCTTTACTTTTTTGTGGGGCAAGGGCCTATGGGTACTTCTTCAAGTCACGGGAATTATATAAGTTGCTGGGAACTTTGCAAGAGTCTGATTAAGAAGCACCCGATGGCATGCACCTGCAAGGAAGACATAGACATAGGAAGACGACTGCTTCCCCCAGCTGCACCAGTGGGTTTTCAGGGTCCGTATCAATCTTCCAGTGCGTAAGTTAATCTTTTGTTGGATGTCACTATAAGCTTCTAGCTTGACACAGCTGCTGTGTTCTGTTGAGGAATGTTCAATGAATTCTGAGAATCTTCCCCTGCCAATTAGCGGTATTTGCACAACCACCACTTGAAGCACCAAGTTGTCAAAGAAACTCTTCGGACATCAGAAAACTCAAGCGACGCATCGTTCACACCGCGCAACATGTGCGGGGCGCAGCGACGTTTGCTCTGCTGGGACGAGGTCCTATGCTTGGACATTGCTGCCACTCGGACTTGAGTGAAGCGGATATGATATGAAGGCATCACCAAGCGAAAGTCCGGTCCCCCGGAAAGCAAAAGTCTACTGATGGCTTCTTTCACCAGTGATTGAAGGCAGGAAATCATTCATGGACCCTGTTAGTTTTCTATTTTTCAGTCTGGGTTTGCCTTGATTGATATTACTGCGGAATCTGTGGCTAGGATTTGATGGAACATCTCCAGCATCAGAGTAACCACCGGTCCCCGCTGTCGCCTCATTTTGTTGCACCAGCTCATCCACTACAGCAAGGGTGGGGTGTAACGGAGGAGGAAGTTGACAGCCCAACCAGCCTTCGTTTCTTCGGGCGCGTGGTTCCAAGCCTGGCCTTGGCGAGAGATAGAGAGATGTTGAGGAAACCACGGCCGGAGTACCGAAGGGACCGTACTGGTTTCGTGGCCCAAAAAGGCACACCGCCACACGGCCCGTCAGCTCGGTGTCGGGGTGTCGGGCATGAACCCGATTGAATCCCAACGATCAGGTGGGTCAAGGAGCTCGGCTGAGCTGAGGCTCAGTCCTGTATTCCAAGCACCAAACAGCCAAGCGCGTGTGCAAGGAAACGAGCCACGTGTGGTGAACAAGCATCCATGGCTAAAGGCCCTGCTGGCCTCGTGGCGCTTCGCCAGCTTCTTGGTGGCTCCTTCCTTCGATCCCCTTGGTGGCTCGCCCCGTCTCCCTAAGACCTCCAAGGATCGTCTACTACCTGCAAGTCTGCCATGGGCTCCTTGACAAAAGTGGATGAACAAGGGAGTGAACAACGCTCCGAGCGGCGTAAGGTGTAAGGTGGGGGGCGGTGGCTTTCAGGGTGATGGGTGGTCACATGAAGGCTTTGGTGGTTTGGTTTGTCCCATCCAGGGGCCGTGGATGTGACAGGGGCCGACGTTATGACTCCTGGAACGTTTTGCCTTTTTGGAGCCGCTTGCATAGTGCCATTTCAAGCGTGAATGAAGCATGTTCGGCCACAAAGCTAAGCTGTCGACAGCACATGATGAGATGTGGGGCTCTGACGTTGGTGGAGGCTCACCCCCAAACAGCAAGCGGGATGGGTCAAAACAAAACACGTGCTCGGATATAGATATCAGGGTGAACACCACCTACTCGCATGAATCCCTCCTGCTTTGGTCAGCAATGGTTCCACGATTCGCATCCAAATTGCTGGCCTCAAAGGCCATTTTCTTTGTTTTTGTCCAGATTGTCTTTGCATCCTAGGGTTTCTGACTGTTTTTCTACAGCTGGGGTTTTTCCTTTTTGTTTTACGAGCACCTTCCCATTGCGCATGAACCAGTCCGGTCGTTTTTGAAGTCGGTGCACTCGACGGTCCATTGTCTCATGGGGAGCCCACCCTTTGTTGAAGTATACGTTTATATATGGGTGAAGCATCACTCAAGCCCCATGTAGAAAATGAGGACATGCAAGGACATGTAGATCTAACTAGATGATATTCTCAACCTGTTTACAACTCATCCCTTCCGAGTAGCTGTTCCGGAATTCTCTCACACCCCCTCCAGCCATGTGAGTGCCCAGTCTCAATCCATGTGAGGTCACGAAGAAAACTGGGCTGGCCCTCCGAACCGGTTTCGGTTCGGGGCCGAAATTGGGGGCCCAGGGCCTCAGGGTGTTTCGACGGTTGGCCCCCCTAGCTTCGAAGGTGGGCACCATGGCGGGCGTTATGGCTCGCTCTTTCGGCGCGTTTTTCATCAAAGGCGTATCGGCTGCGATTCAGGCTTCCATCGCTGCACAAGGGGTCAACGATCCCAACGGAGAAGTGCTGGGTCTACTGGGAGAGGAGGGCGACTTGGACGTGACAGACAGACATTTCTGCAGGCGCAAGAAGCGATCTGAATCGATTCATTCTATAAAACATCCCCAGAAGGGCGATCTGATGGATTCGTCTCTGACCAAAAGGGAGACTACTTATAGACTGAGGGACTTATAGACTGAAGGACTTTCTCTTCGGTTTTGGGTTGAGGGACTTATAGACTGGCCGGGCCAAACCAGGCCATCTGACCATCGGGGGTGTCCTGGTTGGACGACCCACAAACGAACCTCCGGAGGGTCGGTGATCCGTGTGGATCCGCCCACGTAGAGCCGGCAGACGAACCCCCCCGGGGAGGCGTTTCAAGCCATATATGTATGATGATGTATGCCGTTATGCCAAGTGATGCCTGTATGTTTGTTTGTCTCTAGTGTTGTTGTTGTTGTTGTTGTTGTTGTTGTTACATCGAGTTCATTTGAACTCCCGGTCGCCATCGACCGTGGAGCCGTTGCGAGCTGATTTTGAGGTGAATAAGAAGGGCAAGGAGAGGAAGCCAAGACACCTGGCTGACCCGGATAGTGAACACACAGTGAAACCAAGAGGATTGGTGAAGAAGTGTCAGCTTAAGCGAGCTTTCTTAGAGCTTTCTGAGCCAGAGGGTCTGTGGCATCGTTTTTTCCGGTTTGCTGGGACGAAAGGTGTTTCCACCCGATCCGAGTTGGAAATCGGCCGAAGAGGTGTTCGGTGTTTGGCATCTATGGTGGCACATTCTTTGATGATCATATCTTTAGAACCACCAAGCCATAAGTCACATGGATTCACATGGAGTTGTGGTTTTGTTCGTCCCATCCGTCGGGGCCGTGGATGTGACAGGGGGACCCCTATCCTTCTTCCGTTCGGAAACCGGCACGAAGACATGTGACTGCTGGAAGCCATGAGTGTAGAAGATAATTCATCGTTTTCCAAGTTTCAGCATGCCACGATGGTGGCAGTACAGGGTGCTGGGGTCAGCCATCGATCTTGTTTGTTTCCTAGCACTTTCTGTCTGGGTGCCCTGTCTGGAGACCTATAGGTAGGGTAGGATTGTCCATTGGTGACCCGTTGGAAGCACCTGGTTTGTCATGTTTTGTATCAAGATATTTGGTGACCGTGACTCATGACCATGCTGAACACCAACCAGGGATTGCAGGGGCCGATCTGTTCAAAGAAAGAGCCCAAGTGTTCTTCACTTGCGTGTTCCATCATCGCGAGAGGTGTTCCATCATCGCATTGAAGGCATCTACACATCTAGATCAGCATGATGGAATCAGATCCTTCACCATTTTGACCTGTCCCTTAGGATTCTTCGTTCACCACTCGGAAAGGACCGGGGTCCCCTCAAGTCCCAGTCATGAAGGACCCACAAGTCAACTCGTCCCTCGGGTCGCCTGCACTCGTCACGCCATGTTTGAGAGGTATCCAGTGACCTCCCGACCCTACGATAGGATTCCCAATTTTGAGAGTCGAACTCACTAGGGTCCTCTCTTCACCCGAAGGTTGGCATGTCTGTGAGCTTTCTCTTTCGTTGGGGTGAACCCCCTTGTGGGGTCCGTATTTGGGGTCCTGCCAGGGGTCAGTCCCCCAAAGGGGCATAGTCATGCGACTGCTTCGAAAAAGTGACGAAACACATGCCCCTCTGGCAAAAATGACTCTGGTGCCAAGGATCCTGAATCCATCAAGCGAAGGTCACGTTGGTTGACACTTGAGTGATACCAACTATACAGTACCCTAAGAAAACGTATTGGCCCTATTGGCCCTCCATGGCAGAGGTCGGACCTTCTCCACCGAAACACCGGACCCGAACCAAACCCTTTCATACCCTTCCATGATTTCGGGGCCCAGATCCTTAGGGCAGGATGGACACGCCTGAAATGGGTCGAGACGTGTTTTCATCACTTTATTACGGTGATGTATGGTGATCCCTAGGGCTCTGGGATATATATCATGAGAATGGGTCGGTCCAAAACCTGTCCTCAGAATGGGCTTCCAATCCCACTCCCTTCCAGCCCATCCCCCTAAGCCCTCCAGCTCATCTTGTTTTTCATTAATTCTCTCGGCTGAATCAGATTGGTCAAGCTGATGGTTTCCAGACAGACCCAAGTAGAAATGCTTGAGCAGCGTCAGCTCCATGCCCTCACAAGGTTGGCACTTCAGGGTCAAGCCTAGGGCCAAGTGCAGCCCGGGAACAGCTTTGACAGTAAAGCATCAATCATAAGGGTGATATATTTACTTTTGCAGGAGCCCTGAAGGGATAGGAGCCCAACCAGCTCACTCACCACACCGCAGATAGACAAACAAACAGACAGAGAGGGCTTGCATAGTGTTTCTGGTGGAATGTTTGGTTGTCCCTTCAACAACCCATACATTGAAATTTGCATGTTCATGAATTTGTATGGGGCGAAGAACCCACCCAACGATATCCCCAAGAGATTCACTCTGCATGGAACATACTTGCGTATTGAAATGGAGAACCAGATCCTCAGGTGGCTGACCAGATATGCCCTCATGTGTTAAAGCCAGGAGCCCCTAATAGCTTCTTTGCTCATAATAGCGATGCCCTTTGCTCCTAGTAGCGTCCTTGCTCCTAGTAGTAGGCCAGGAGCCCCAAAGAGTTTCTTAGCTCCTTGTAGCGACGCCCTTTGCTCCTAGCAGCGTGTCACTTTTCATAGGAAGACATGTTTGTTCCTGTCTGACTTTTCCATCCTAAGCTCTTTGTGTCAGGACCTCGGTGGGCGACATAAGTCGGCGCCAAGTGACGGACGCAGGTGGACACAGTGGAAGGTTGCACACGTTTTAACAAGATGGCGCGAAATCAATACTCACATTTTTGAACCAAACCCGTGTGTCGCCAGGCTGATGGCAGCCCTCGTTCGGGGCCTGAGGTTCTTTCAAGTCAACTATTTCCAAAGCAAACCCCACTGAAGATGACGCCTGGAGTAGTCATGGAAGTGGAAAGCCAACATGGTTTTTCCAGGACCAGCCCCAACCATGTCAGTGACCCGACCAATCGATCGGCTGGTGCTGTCGTAATGAACCAGGCGCAGTTTTGCATTTCCATAACTATTTCAAGAGCCACCCCCACCCAAGCCTAAAGGTAGATGATCCTTTGAAAAGTCGTGGAAGTGGAAACCATTCTTGTTTTCGATTTCCATGATTATTTTCCACGACCAATTTGAACCGGGTCAGTGACCCAACCAATCGAACGCCTGGTGGTGTGGTGTGATGATCCCTGGAACAATGATAGCATGCTAGTGCAAAACCAGCTCGTGCTGTTGTTCATATGGTACCAAGCCCATCCAAAACATAGCTAGGGAAGATGATCCCTGGAGTATACATAGAGGTGGAAAAGACATCTTGTTGTTGGCTGGTGCTGTGGTGATGACCCCAAGAATAGTCATGGAAGTGGAACGCCAGGTGTAGCTTTTCCATTTCCACCATTGTTTCCAAGACCAAGCGCACCCAAACCCCAGGCAACAAGTGGAAAACCAATCCAGCACAGTAGTGTTGTTCATGTCCATGATTACAAGAAAGGGTCATCATATGCTTAAATCTGAAGATGCACCCACTGCCTTGATTTTCCAAGACGAACCCCACCCAAACCTACAAAACCAAATCTTGTTTTCTATTCCCATGTTTTTTCCAGGACCAGCCCCATTTGATGGAAAAGTCATGGAAGTGGAAGCCATTCTTGTTTTCGATTTCGATGATTATTTCCACGACCAACCTCAACCGGGTCAGTGACCCAACCAATCGATCGCCTGGTGGTGTGGTGTGATGATCCCTGGAACACTGATAGCGCGCTAGTGCAAAACCAGCTCGTGCTGTTGTTCGTATGGTACCAAGCCCACCCAAAACATAGGGAAGATGATTGCTGAAATATACATGGAAGTGGAAAAGATATCTTGTTGCCCAGATCCACAATTTTGTCCAAGACTGAACCACATGGGTCAGTGACCCAACCAATCGATCGGCCAGTGATTTGGGAGGGTAAAGCCAACCAAGCCTGTGGGAGGTGCATAACTGTGGGAGACACATACAAACTAAACCTGACTAACGGTGAGAGAGTGCAATTATATTAAGCAATTTTGTATCTGCACAATACAATTCTTTCCACGGTGCCTTCGGGTGAGAAGGTTCGGCACCTTGCTTGGCCGAATTCCATCTGAAATGCTGAAAGTAGCTGGGCCCCTTTTTGGTCAGCTTGGTTTCGTTGAAGTGTTGCGCCAGCCTATGCGCCCAATCAGAGGAAACAAGAGGTCAACAAAAGAAAAGCGACCTGACTTTTTCGGAAAGACACACTCTCCGGAGTAACCATGGAAGTGGAGCATGGCCCATGATGAACAGTTTTATCTACAAACATCTTCCGTGATCTCCAAGACTAACCCCTACCAATTCAAAAAACCAGGTCACTGGTGGGAGGATAAACAAACAACAGTATATACAAGCAAGCGCAGTGAGCGTGTCAAGTTTTAGGCAGATACTGTCCATGGCATGGAAGTGGAAAATGCACCCTTAAATGATCATTCAATCGTTTTGCTCTACATGTCCTTTTCCACTTCCATGACCCATGACGGGTCAGAGACCCAACCAGTCGATTCGATCGGCCAGCGGTGCGTGGTGGGAAGGTGATGTTTTGAGGGACGAGTTGAGTGCCCATCCACCCAACCGACGCATCAAGTCAATCATGCATACGTGTCATACTACCAGTGACTCAGAACCATCCCATCAAAATAAGTTAAGCTTCAAGGATCATTCACATTCAAGATCATTTTCAATCGTCATCAGCCAACTCCAACCTGGCCACGGACCATCATGGACCCAACCATTTTGTTCGTGGACCCGTGGAGGAGGGGTTGACTGGAGGAGGGTGGTCAGGCCAAATGATCGGGCCTTGACAGTTTCGGGTCCCCCGCCGCCTTGCGTGCAAGATGTAGTAGGCATCGAAGTAGCTTTCCTCAAAACCCAGTTTCAATGAGGAGGGCAAGGAAAGGTTTGCTGGGTGCTGCAAGTTTGAGCTAAGTAACAAATGCATCACAAATCTTTGACGTGCCTTCCTTCGAGAGGCCCGGTGGTGCCATTCCAGCATGGGATACCACGGGTTTCCTACTATATAACCATTTTCTTTTGAAGGTTTTGCGTGAACCAAGAGTCTGGTTAGACAATGTTACCAGGTTGATCCAAGGTATATACTGTCAAAAGATCAGTGAAACCCTCTTGTTCTTCGCGAGCCGGATTTGACGTTCATCCCACGTCTCCAGCTTTCCATCCCGGCGATGGAACGTCAACTTGTCATTGACACACTGAATGTTCGCTGCATGTTCCCCATGTCCAGCCTGCATGGTTGAAGGTATGCTGATACAGCCCCAAAACTTTTCCTCATAGCTTACGTAGAATAGTCCGGCGTTTCCCCAGATGCCGGGCAAACCCCAGCCTCCAACTCTGAAGTGTCTTTCCGGCCCGGCATCAATCCTGCAGCATTTGCAAGGTCCCCTTGCTGCTGTCGGTCACCTCTGCCATA